GTTGAAAGACAGCAGATACCTGGCCATGGCAAAAACTCACGGTTAACTCATGACTGTTACACTGATATATTTCCAATGAAATATTTTGTCTTCCATGTAACCGTCTTGAGCTAAACTAAAAAGAATTTTTGCCGTGTCTAGGTATCTTCAGGCTCTTAAGTGTTGAGAATCAATATTTATATACACTTGGATATATAGATATATAGGTTATCCATACACAGAAATATTTTGTATTCTGAGAAAAGCACAGTATTAGACTACACACAGACTGATTAATTTATTCAGGGTGGTCAGGTAGCACGCTGTGACACACTTGTTTTTCAGCTACGTGACTGGAGCTCCATTCTCTGAGCAGATATGAAAGTATATCATACCAAACAAATAAAGACAGATTTTCTTTTTCAAAAATTTGTTTCCAAAGGTCATGTCCAAATCTTAGTTATATTGGGAAGAAGGATTTTATATCGGAGTGAATGAATGGCCAACAAAAGCAACAGAACGGGGAGCAAGAAGATGTTAGCAACATAACACTGGTAATATTCAACAAATGTGAAGAAAGGAATCAGGTAATTACTAGGATCATGATGAGATCACACAACAGTCCTTTATAATCAAGTATGTTGTCACATGTATAAAATAATGAAATAATTTGATCAGAAACAGATTCACAACAGGAAGCATCAATATTCTTTGTAATTATTTCACCTAACAATATCAGTGTGTAAAATAAAGTAAATATTCTGATGGTATATGTCTGAATTACGACCTTTTTAACCAGTGTCAGACTGACATACAATGTCTGTAAAATGTTAAAATATTCACACTAATACAAACTACAGAAAAGACTGGAAAGAATTCAATCTTCAACAAAAGACTCCGGCATTGAGGATGATTACAATCACAGAATATTAAAAACAGAAAGCAAATCCACTCCTACTACTACCCTAAGATCCAGACATAGACAAAAAACAATCCAAAGTCGATACTTAATACAAATACTGTCTAGAAAGGGGGTCAAGGGGGGCATAATTTATCAAAGATATTGTGTAAAAAGACATAAATTACCCAAAATATTACAATATAAACTTAGATTGATTTTAATGACCTCCATTTCAGAGGATACAGAAGAAACCCTTTTAAAAGATAAACAACAATATTTACACATCCTTCAGAGAAAACTCCTACAAATTCTGCACTAAAAGAAGGAAAATCTAGATTGTTTTCTTCACTTTACAACCATACAAAATTCAGATAGCATTCACAGGCTTTATGATTGTCATAACCAACATATTGCATTAAAACACAAAGACAATGATTCATAGATTTGGAAAACCTTTTGTACAGCTATGTTTCTATTGGCATTTATATCGCCTGTAAATGCTAAGTGCAAGCATGGCCTGCAGAAGAAAGAGAAGCAAGTTAAATATGTGTCGGTTGCAAAATTTTCCTCTGAAGTCTGTGGTATGTTTTTTGTCTTAAGTCCTTAGTACGATTTATGTCTTAAGTCTGTGGTATGTTTTTTGTCTTAAGTCTGGAGTATGATTTTTGTCTTAAGTCCTTAGTACGATTTATGTCTTAAGTCTGTGGTATGTTTTTTGTCTTAAGTCTGGAGTATGATTTTTGTCTTAAGTCTATGGTATGATTTTTGTCTTAAGTCTGTGGTATGTTTTTTGTCTTAAGTCTGGAGTATGATTTTTGTCTTAAGTCTATGGTATGATTTTTGTCTTAAGTCTGTGGTATGTTTTTTGTCTTAAGTCTGGAGTATGATTTTTGTCTTAAGTCTATGGTATGATTTTTGTCTTAAGTCTGTGGTATGATTTTTTAACTTAAGGTGTTTATCACAAACATAGGCCTACATTTACCTTACATCTGAAATATCAATTCTTGGTTGGAATCGTTTATCAATCTCTGTATAATAAGCTGCTTGGTCTGATACTGGGGAGAATTAGATCTGGTGTTTAGTCTACAGAAAAACATACATTTATTATTGAATAGATGATTCATGCCTGTTTTTTTAAATTTGGCCAAGTCAGTTGACCTTACAGACAAAATGAATTATTTGTCTGACAAGTCAGTTGACCTTACTGACAAAATGAATTATTTGTCTGACAAGTCAGTTGACCTTACTGACAAAATGAATTATTTGTCTGACAAGTCAGTTGACCTTACTGACAAAATGAATTATTTGTCTGACAAGTCAGTTGACCTTACTGACAAAATGAATTATTTGTCTGACAAGTCAGTCGAACTAAAGGACAAAATTTATTATTTGTCTGACAAAACAGTTGAACTAAAGGACAAAATGAATTATGAGTCTGACAAGTCAGTAAAACTGAAGGACAAAATGAATTATTTGTCTGAAAAAACAGTTGAACTAAAGGACAAAATGAATTATGAGTCTGACAAGTCAGTTGAACTGAAGGAGAAAATGAATTATTTGTCTGACAAAACAGCTGACCTTACTGACAAAATGAATTATTTGTATAACAAGTCAGTTGACCTTACTGACAAAATGAATTATTTGTCTGACAAGTCAGTTGACCTTACTGACAAAATGAATTATTTGTCTGACAAGTCAGTTGACCTTACTGACTAAATGAATTATTTGTCTGACAAGTCAGTCGAACTAAAGGACAAAATTTATTATTTGTCTGAAAAAACAGTTGAACTAAAGGACAAAATGAATTATGAGTCTGACAAGTCAGTTGAACTTACTGACAAAATGAATTATTAGTCTGACAAAATGAATTATTTGTATAACAAGTCAGTTGACCTTACTGACAAAATGAATTATTTGTCTGACAAGTCAGTTGACCTTACTGACAAAATGAATTATTTGTCTGACAAGTCAGTTGAACTTACTGACAAAATGAATTATTAGTCTGACAAGTCAGTTGACCTTACTGACAAAATGAATTATTAGTCTGACAAGTCAGTTGAACTTACTGACAAAATGAATTATTTGTCTGACAATTCAGTTGAACTAAAGGACAAAATGAATTATTTGTCTGACAAGACAGTTAACCTAAAGGACAAAATGAATTATTTGTCTGACAAGACAGTAAAACTGAATTATTTGTCTGACAAGTCAGTTGAACTGAATTATTTGTCTGACAAGTCAGTTGAACTAAAGGACAAAATGAATTATTTGTCTGACAAGACAGTTAACCTAAAGGACAAAATGAATTATTTGTCTGACAAGACAGTAAAACTGAAGGACAAAATGAATTATTTGTCTGACAAGTCAGTTGAACTAAAGGACAAAATGAATTATTTGTCTGACAAGACAGTTAACCTAAAGGACAAAATGAATTATTTGTCTGACAAGTCAGTTGAACTAAAGGACAAAATGAATTATTTGTCTGACAAGTCAGTTGAACTAAAGGACAAAATGAATTATTTGTCTGACAAAACAGTTGAACTAAAGGACAAAATGAATTATTAGTCTGACAAGTCAGTAAAACTGAAGGACAAAATGAATTATTTGTCTGACAACACAGCTGACCTTACTGACAAAATGAATTATTTGTATAACAAGTCAGTTGACCTTACTGACAAAATGAATTATTTGTCTGACAAGTCAGTTGACCTTACTGACAAAATGAATTATTTGTCTGACAAGTCAGTTGATCTTACTGACAAAATGAATTATTATTCATAAATAAGGAAAGCAATATTCACAAATGAAAAATAACTTATTTAGCCAATTTCTCAGAAGTAATACTGGCGTACTAAAACAACAAAACCAAAATAATGATAAATGAATATCATAAATAGACAAACAAAGCCATGATTTCCACATTTAATTTAACATGGAGAATTTGTAAGACTTTGACGTCAGACTCAAAAACTTTACTAAACATGGAGATTTTGTAAGTCTTTGAGGTCAGACTCCAAAACTTTACTAAACATGGAGATTTTGTAAGACTTTGACGCCAGACTCAAAAACTTTACTAAACATGGAGATTTTGTAAGACTTTGACGCCAGACTCCAAAACTTTACTAAACATGGAGATTTTGTAAAACTTTGATGTCAGACTCCAAAACTTTACTAAACATGGAGATTTTGTAAGACTTTGAAGTCAGACTCCAAAACTTTACTAAACATGGAGATTTTGTAAGACTTTGACGCCAGACTCAAAAACTTTACTAAACATGGAGATTTTGTAAGACTTTGACGCCAGACTCAAAAACTTTACTAAACATGGAGATTTTGTAAGACTTTGACGCCAGACTCAAAAACTTTACTAAACATGGAGATTTCGCAAGACTTTGACGTCAGACTCCAAAACTTAACTAAACATGGAGATTTTGTAAGACTTTGACGTCAGACTCCAAAACTTTACTAAACATGGAGATTTTGTAAAATTTTATGAGGTCAGCCTCTCAGGTTTTACTAAATATGGAGGTTTTTTGTGTCAGACTGTTAAGGAGATCAGCCTTTTAGTTATACTCCTGGGTTCATCTGTTTGGATATCAATTCAGGTGAAGAAGTAAGAAAATAATGAATATGAAAGAAAAAGGGTTGAAATCAAAGTTACAAACAAGACAAGTAATAGGAGGGTTAGATTGAACTTTAGAGAGAGTGACAGATAAGGGAAGGAACAGGGAGAATAGAAAGAAAGTAAAAGAGGGAATAAAGTGCAGGGAGTGAGGGAGAGTATAAAGGTGTGAGGAGGAAATACAAGAAGAATATTACAGGAAAGAAGGACAGTTAAGAGGATGAAGAAAACTTAAAGGAAGTAGAGGAAGAAGGGATTGAAGGAAGATTAAAGGAGTGAAGGGAAAAAGGAGTGAAGGAAACTAAAGAACAGAGAACAGGAAAGTGCTCTAAATGAAATGATAAAGAAATCAAACAAAGCCCATCCTAGTGTGATTTTATACCAGAAAGTTTATGATAATGTATGACTGTTCCATTCTAATCTTAAACAACATGATAGTGCCATGCCTGATCAGAATTAAGGGATCAGATTGTGCCTTCACACTCCCTGTATTCATACCCGAAGTTCCTAGGACCGACGCAGACTTTGCTCGCGCCATAACCGGGATCACATTTTCGTCTAAACCTAGTCAATAGAACAGGAGAGCACATTGAATCCATACATCACATAAACACACATGCTATATTCATCAATGCTTCTATATATACAATTTTCAGTTTTTGAATAATTACAAAAAAATTAATTCATCAGTACATCTAAAATTTTACACCAAACACAGCTTTTCTTCTTCTGTTCTTTGTAAAAATGAACAGTAGAATTGATCTGATGCACATGATATGTATGGATGTATGTATATATATACATACATGATATTTGTGTTCTGATGGGCATACTTAAAAGATGGAATATTCAAGGATAATTCAATATGTCCTTTTTTACTATCACCTAACATTGCTTTTATTTGTAATATAAATCACTAAGTTATTGTCTTTTTTTTTTAAGATTTCCTTTAATAACAAAGTTTTTGGTATCTGTTCCTTAACATTTGCTTGTTTGTCTACATACACTGGATTTTAAGGTTCATTTTAAGCAACTGGTTCTTTTTAAACATAAAGATATTTTCTGACGTAAACAAAACTTTTTTTTCACATGGAAAACAATGAAGAATAAGAAAGTTCACTTTAGATGAAAAAATTGAAACAAAAATTATTTGATGAGAGAAAAGGAATATCGAAAGGTTTTTATAAAGGGAATAAAGCTGTACTTTAAAGCATAGATTTCAGTGAAGCGTGACTATAATAAAAAAAGCAGCTTGTAGAGAAAATTGCTGCAAATTTGTGTAAATTTCAGGAATACAGTGCTTTTAATTATGAGGAGCAATAACAGTTTGTGTATACACCTACATAAGCAGTCTGACACAACGACAGTTACAGAATAAAGCAGATGTAAAGATCACATGCATAATGGAATAACCAACCTATAACTATACCCGACTAATTATCACATCACTCCATTTATAAATAGACATCAAGGCTTAATCATTTATAAATAGACATCAAGGCTTAATCATTTATAAATAGACATCAAGGCTTAATCATTTATAAATAGACATCAAGGCTTAATCATTTATAAATAGACATCAAGGCTTATTCATTTATAAATAGACATCAAGGCTTAATCATTTATAAATAGACATCAAGGCTTAATCATTTACAAACATACAATATTCTTATAGTACGAACCTGGAATCATTTATTAATCAAATATGAAACTGCAGCTTGTTTTTGATAAATCTTTGAATGTTTAGATTTAATGAACTTACAAATCTTTAATTATTGTTAAGTTTGAAGAGAGTCTACAAACCCAGACAAAAATCACTTATACCTAACAATATTTACCCTAATCGACGCCGCTGGGTGTTACTACCAAGTAACATTTTCCATAAACGACCCCAATGTGTGTTTATATCTGGTAACATTGACCCTAACTGACCCCAATGGGTGTTTATATCTGGTAACATTGACCCTAACTGACCCCAATGGGTGTTTATATCTGGTAACGTTGACCTTTACTGACCCCAATGGGTGTTTATATCTGGTAACATTGACCCTAACTGACCCCAATGGGTGTTTATATCTGGTAACATTGACCCTAACTGACCCCAATGGGTGTTAAGGATATGAAGACAAGGTTAAAAGAGAATCTTAAATAAAAACAATTATTATTGTTACCATAGTAACACATTTTTTGCACAAGTGAATCATGTGATATTCATCCAGGAATAAATTTGCATTAGTAATTAAAGCTCACACCCAACATTTGTATTACAAAGAGTTTACCAAACCAATGTTAGTTTATTGTCCAGTAAAATCTTTATAACCCTTATCATGACCTTGACCCAGATATAAACCTACAAAAACCCTCCTCATGACCTTGACCCAGATACAATCCATACAACCCTTATCATGACCTTGACCCAGATATAAACCTACAAAAACCCTCCTCATGACCTTCACCCAGATACAATCCATACAACCCTTATCATGACCTTGACCCAGATATAAACCTACAAAAACCCTCATGACCTTCACCCAGATACAATCCATACAACCCTTATCATGACCTTGACCCAGATATAAAGCTACAAAAACCCTCCTCATGACCTTCACCCAGATACAATCCATACAACCCTCCTCATGGCCTTGACCAAGATATGATATGTTGGCTTCCCTGGGCTTAATGCAGGATAAATTTGAATATGACAAAGGGGAAAAAGTAAACAAATTCTATTCCAGGATACTTGACAGGTCTCATAAAATATGTCAAAGGGTAGATAACTCTAAATACCTTGAAACCTTCTACACTAATGAAGAATTCAAAATCTTTTGTACCTATTTTGTTAAATACAAAATCAAACCACACATAATCGGTGTTAGGTTTTTACAATATATCTCTATAGGTTACATGTACAGTAGCTTGTTTGGTTTTACATACATGGCTGAATGTAATAGGCAGAAGATATATTCCTTTATTATAATCATTTATTTTTTTAGTTTGATACTGAAAATATTTGTACTTTCACAAATAATTATTGTGAAACCACACCAAATATCTCTTATTGTTTAAAGTTGTTAATCTAAATTCTAAAATCCAAATAAAAAAATTACCTTAGAAAAAGATAAAATTGCTTTTAGAAAAGCCTTAATTTATATCTATAAAGGATAGGCATGATGTTTTTTATACATATTTATTTGATTGACAAATTGGTTATTATAAATGTATGTAAACCTTTTTGACATATGATTGGTTTTGTGTTTGTGAATTTTTCCTTCATAAGTAATTTTATCTTTAATAAAGGCAGTCCATTTGAAGATACGTTTTTATTCAGAAGTTATTTCAAAACTTAATTTTAATGTTTTACTGCACATTTTTTCATTTTCATTCTAGTTTTATGATAGAGATAGTTATTAGGCTAAAAAATTTAATTTTAGGTCTATTAGGTTAACTTTAACACAAGAGACAATAAGTTAAAACTTAAAGCTGTTCATTTTTTTAGACAAAAAAAAAACAAAACAAATTTAAACAAGAGGCCAAATGTACCTATCAGCCAAATATCATACCTCTAGGGAAAAGTTCATGAGAAGAAGTCCTTGAAAGGTTTTTATAACCTGTAACCTTGAATGTAAGTCAAGGTCATTTCTTTTCGCAATTTTTTTGGGGTTTCATCCTAGGTAAATACCAGCAAAATATCATGCTTCCAGGCCTTTTAGTTCATGAGAAGAAGTTTTCTAAAGGTTTTACAAATTTGACCCCCTGTGACCTAGAATATGAGTCAAGGTCATTTCTTTTCACAATCTTTGTCGGGCTTCATTCTAGAATATTACGAGCCAAATATCAAAATATATGGTCTGTTAGTTATTGAGAAGTTGTTTAAAGAAACCCTCTTCAACCAAGAATGCTTCAGAACATGTTTGGTGAAAAAAGGAGGAAAATGGAAGGAGTATTTTGAAAAATTTAATCAATTTTCCTATTGGGCCCATCCCTCCTGCTCCAACATGCTGAGAACTATTGTTTATACAAACTAAATTCCCTTTCATAAACCATGCTTAAGACCAAATTGGAGCAAAATCCAATCATTCCCCTAGGAAAAGTAGGATTTTAAAGAATTTTCCGTATTTCCTCTATTGGGCCTCAACCTTCATGCCCAAGGGGTCTATGAATGCTTCAGACTAAATTTAAGCAAAATCCAATCCTTCCTACAGTAAGAAAGATTTTAAACAATTTGTTCTATTTTTCTTCATTTAGCCCTGTCCTTCCCACCTAAAGACCTAATTTGGGCAAAAAAATAATCATTCCTATAAGAGGAGAAAGATTTCAAAATTTCCCCTTATGGGCCCTACATTTCAGTATCCTGGGAACCATGACCAAACATTTATATCAGATTTCATTCCTTTCCATCAAGGATGCTTTTGACCAAATTTGGTGAAAATCCTGAAAGTGGTTCACAACTAACAGCAATTTTTACAGTTGAGGGGTGGAAGAGAAAGGACAGACGATGGACACTGCAGTATGCCATAAGCTCACTTGGCCCATTGGGTCAGATGAGCTGGGGAAAAAAAAGCAAATTGCAAAAGATAATGACCAGACTAAATTGCACTAAAAATTTACAATAATCAATTACACTTACAAACACTCATACATGACAAAGGCAGGAAATATCAAGGGGAGATAAGTCAGGATTACCTTTAAGGCTATCAGTCCCAAGGCAAAATATGCTTGACCATGATCGCCGGTGGTGGTCACTGGCTAAAGGGAGATGGACAGTCAGATAATGGCGTTCTATCAAAGCTGTAACAACAAAACGTGCACACTACAGTACAGATCACAACACAACAAAATCTACTTCAGCAATGTGTCTTCCCTATCAATTCTGTACATTATTTTTCTTTAACTTCTACACAAAATTCCATATTTGTTTTTGGCCTTAACCTCTAAACTTTTTTTTTTAATCTCTACTCTAACTTCTACACAAAAACTTTCATCCTTTTCCTGAATTAGATTTGTACCCTTTCATTACTGGTACTTGAAACAAGAGGCCTATTGGGCCTGTACCACTAACTTGAAAAAATATATATCAACACATTTCCACTATTACCATGCAGAGATTTAAATAGATTTTTTGAGCTAACATATAGTAAGTTCCTATGAGTACTTAACATTAAACATAAATCATCAGAGTCTTAGTTTGAGTAAAACTACTTTTTGACATTTCAGAAATAAGGCATGAAATATTTTTAATACAGTGTGCATGTATATCATGATCATCAAATCTTTTACAGTTATTATCATTACAATATGTATCATCAGCAATGCCTCATTCCGTCAGAATTTCAAAGCAGAAGAATTATAAGAAAATCCTGGTCACTAATTGCTTTCTTTCATCTAAATTTTTCATTTTTGATAATTTGGCCACCAGATGGCAGTATATAAGTGCAGGATGTACAACAGAACAGTATCAGGTGAGAACCATGGAATATAGTTAAAGTATAAAGACAATAACAGATAATTAGGAACTTTTAATATCTGCTGCTGAGCTGGAAAAAAAAACACCCATTTTGTAAAAACATCCTTTCAGATAATTAAAAACAAATTATTCATAATAGACAAAGTTATTTCCCATGAACATTTTTATAACACTTTCTTGTGTGCAAACAAGCAACAAGAACAACAGAAGTTGTGACAAACTATTTCAGACAAATACAATAGTTGTAACATGTTACCATGCAGGGTTTAGTAAAACTTTCATCATCATCATCATCATCATCACTAGGTGGATTCTCTTAGTTACCACTGTAACCTTACAATCATCTTCAATGTAATGAAAATTGCTGTTGTTACCAATTTACCTTGTTGCAAAGGTAACCAAGTACCTCTGTTGCTATGAAAACCCAGTAATCTTTTTATCTAATCAACTTGAATGCAATGGCACTTTAAATCACATTTACGACTACAAAACCTATGTCATATTCCATACAGAAAAAAACAATTCAATTTCATCTACATCAAAAGGCTCCAGTATCCTACAGGTGAAATGGTGTCCAAATAACTTGTCATTGTTTCCATAAAGCGTTGTCTAAGTATCAAAAACTAAGATGAAACCGCTTTAAATTAAAGAATCCCCAAAAATATTAATGTGAGTTCATGCTTTGTATGCTTAATCATAAATAATTTTTTCACAGACCTTATTAATTTGATATATATGTGTATTAAAAAGAAGTAAATAATGCCTTGCAATATTAAAGCAGTGCTTTAATAAAAAAAACCCCAACATAATACTAAATATATAAATTGATTAAAAACATAAAATTCTAAAAGTTTTAAAAATAAAATAAGATGTAACAAGTCTGCCTTACTCTCAGGAGCTATATAATCTTTCTCTGTGGAAATAAATTAATTTTCAATTAAATTCTCTTTGATATTATCAATATTTGAATACGATTGATCATTCATCATTATAATGTATTTAAAGATACATATTAGTGTCCTGATAGAACACAACAATACAAAACATGTTACACTTACAGAGTTTACATTATAACATAAAACTACAACTGTTGAAAAAAAAAGAAAATTCTGTAATTGCTAAATTGACATTAGAATTCTAAAATGATTTCAAATACTTAAAATAAGGAATGTGGATTTTAGTAATCACTCTTGCTGGCATGGAAAATGTCGCTTAAGCATGCAGGATGACTGCTGTGAGATGAAAACTACAGAAACAAGAGACCCTACATGGATAAATACACGACACAGACACCATCTCACGTCCAAGTGGAGAATCTGATACTACATTAAGTACTGAATCATCAATCACATTGGGTATATAATGATTACAGGGTGCAGATCTTACATATTCTTTGCAATACTTTACATTCTAATTTTCAATCTGGCAAAATGTCAAGAAAATTCCACATTGGTTAAACACTGTAATCTAAGTATATAAAAAAATGTTTTAAAAATGTGGAGAAAGGGCCATAACTCTTTATTTAGTTGGCATAAGACACAACACTCAAGCATATCACGAAACAAAATAAAACTTTGATGCAAACAGCCAGCAAAACAGTCAAAAAGACAGCCAGCAAGACAGTCACCAAGACAGTCACCAAGACAGTCACCAAGACAGCCAGCAAGACAGTCACCAAGACAGTCACCAAGACAGCCAGCAAGACAGTCACCAAGACAGTCACCAAGACAGTCACCAAGACAGCCAGCAAGACAGTCACCAAGACAGTCACCAAGACAGTCACCAAGACAGCCAGCAAGACAGTCACCAAGACAGCCAGCAAGACAGTCACCAAGACAGTCACCAAGACAGCCAGCAAGACAGTCACCAAGACAGTCACCAAGATAGTCAGAGAGTCAACCAGTCAGTCACCATAATAGGAAGAATGCCGACTACCCACTGCAGCCATCTATCCAGCCTGAAAGATTGCCAGATATCTAGCTAGCCAACACAAAGTGGTATATTATCACTGACTAGTGAAACATTTTGAAAAGTTTCCAGTATTCTTCTTTCAATTACTTTAGACTGATTCTTGCATTCTGGAATGGAATAACTTCCAATAACTTTGACAGCTACACAATACTGTAATATAAGATTTGATGAGCTTCACACATATGTACAAGTAACAGACTAATGACTATAAATATAAAAAAAAACAAATATAGAAATAAATAAACACATTTTTAAACACAGTAAATAAACAAAAACACAAAATCAAAACAAACATTTGGGTGAGGATACGACAAAGTAGGCAGAAGAACCATAGGAGTGATGTACACACAGCCAACCACACAGATGTTACATAACAAAATAACATTCCATATCTTAATTATTCCTCCACATTAAAGTTTTTCTTTTGAGTATAAATATCCTATAATGGTTCCCAATTATTATCTTCACCTGTATATGTTCTGTAACAATGTTGGAAGTTGTTTTTTATGAATTTAATGCATGATGTGACCTGTTAGGTATTGTATTGATTTATAAGGAAGACTAGCATGAGATCCAGACAGTAACTTTAAGACAGAAATACTTGTATGGAATTCTCGACCGGAGTCAAAATCAAACTTGTATATCAGCACACTGACATTAAAATAATTGTACAAAAGACACACAAGTGAATGGCACAAATTTAGAGTTAGATAAAGTAGAGCCAAACATTGAATTTAACTGTTTCGTCTTTCTTAGACTCAGTGAGGCTAAGGCCTAAATTTAGAAGCCTAGGAAGTGACTGAGGAAAATCCAAATTGATTGAAAAAATGTCAATATTGGTAGGAGAAGGTGGACTTACTAAGACACTAGATATTCAATGTGTATATTGTTGGTAAACCTGACACTCAGCTTATATTCCTATCATTCATTATCATAGATCTGATATACACTAATCTGTTAAAGTTAAATTTGTCTATCACCATCCTGATAACATAAAACCATAGTTTCAGATATCTATAGGTAAATATTCTCACTAATATGAATACATTCTATAATTTATTTATATTTCTAAGCGATCCGTTCTATATAATCATAGTTCATTGCGTCTATCCTTTAATAGGTCCCTTAGTAATAAGGTTGAATTTTGATGACCTTGTATTAAGTTATCCCTCTAATTGGAGTCAGAAGTTACATGTTATATTGACCCTAGGCTTATTACAGTATATACTAGATCAGTATGACACATATTCTGTCATCTTTTTATGTAGAAATCACTAGATCAGTATGACACATATTCTGTCATCTTTTTATGTAGAAATCACTAGATCAGTATGACACATATTCTGTCATCTTTTTATGTAGAAATCACTAGATCAGTATGACACATATTCTGTCATCTTTTTATGTAGAAATCACTAGATCAGTATGACACATATTCTGTCATCTTTTTATGTAGAAATCACTAGATCAGTATGACACATATTCTGTCATCTTTTTATGTAGAAATCACTAGATCAGTATGACACATATTCTGTCATCTTTTTATGTAGAAATCACTAGATCAGTATGACACATATTCTGTCATCTTTTTATGTAGAAATCACTAGATCAGTATGACACATATTCTGTCATCTTTTTATGTAGAAATCACTAGATCAGTATGACACATATTCTGTCATCTTTTTATGTAGAAATCACTAGATCAGTATGACACATATTCTGTCATCTTTTTATGTAGAAATCACTAGATCAGTATGACACATATTCTGTCATCTTTTTATGTAGAAATCACTAGATCAGTATGACACATATTCTGTCATCTTTTTATGTAGAAATCACTAGATCAGTATGACACATATTCTGTTTCTGATTTGATTTAATTATATTTTACTGTCAAAATCACAAAAATAGACAAGACACCAGTTGCTATGGACTGAATGCTTCCAAGACAATCATTCTGGTCTACATGTCTTAAGTGTGTAGACATGACTACCTGTCTGAGAAGTTGTACACCTTTTGTGTCTAGTAGAATGCAGCTAACCATTTCCAAAAACAACAGAAGTGAAGAAATGTCAGCACTTTTTTAGACACAATAACCCGTTAAATTGTGATATACTGGGACATAATCTTTACTCCTTTTTTATTTTAAATAAACAAAGAACCACAAACCTTGGCATAATCTGCCACACCTAACTAGTGGTGTGAAATATGGTATCTTATATAAAGACGTCATATATATACCATATTTATAACAATTTGTGATGTCCCTCATACTGTGTATCACTACTATCACCAAAACATCTAATACAGTGAAAGTGTTAGAGCCAAATAAAACTTCTTTCTTTGTCAATTGTCAATTATCAATTAAAATTCCTTACATCTCCTCAACTTCAACATTATATATATATATATCAACCTTGTAGTAAGAGTTTATAACTTGATGTAGATCCTGTGTGTTTGACTGTTGATATTTGAATAGAGCTTGGTATTGTCCATGAACAAATTCATGCAACACACTATAAGGTCTGAAAAAATAAAAGAAGTCACCAAATTTTTTCAATTTGATAGTAAAAGGAAGATAAGTAATGAAATGTTGGCAATAAAAAAGGCCCAACTTGGGCACTTACTGTATATATACAGAAAGAATTGAGGAGGTGAGTGGAACAGCTTCAAATTTATAGCCCTGAAAGGAAAGTTAACACTAATTTTGTGTTTTTTTTTTACTATATTTCCATGGTAACAGAAAAAAATAGAAAAAATGAATCAATAGCAAATTGTACAACTAGGCACTAACCTAATATTTACAGAAAGTTTTATTGAGTTGAGTGGAATGGTTTCAAATTTATAGCCCTGAAAGGAAAGTTAACACTAATTTTGTGGGGTTTTTTACTATATTTCCATGGTAACAGAAAAAAATATAAAAAATGAAATGTCAATAGCGAATTGTACAACTAGACACTAACCAAATATGTACAGAAAGTTTTATTAAGTTGAGTAAAATGGTTTTGAGTTAAAGTCCAGAAAAGTCCTGTGACAGAAGGACAGACAGACAGACGGAAGCATGCACAGACAGACGGACAGAGTGTAAATGTGTTTCATGGAGAATAATAAACATCGAGATTCTATAGTTTTTCTACTTCACATATATTTTTACTTGTCTTTACAAAATTTTGTGTATTTGACTTCATTAGAGTAACATTTCTGTCCAATAAAAGGTTGCAAGGTTCAGCAGAACGTTATAATTGTGTTAGTGCCATTCAAAGCCACATTGCTATAAATAACAGCCAATGGTGTTATGTACTGGATACATCAAATCCAACTCACTGGGGTACATGATGCAAGCCATCTCATCGTAGCTGTGGACACCTAGGTGACCTAACACACAGAACAAAACACTAGATCTAAATCAATTTAACAAATCACAAACTGAAAACACAATCCAAGATCAAATTCAACAAAATGCAAATTATGAAATTTACATAATGCATATTATATTGCTCTTTTCATTATTTAAATTTGTTGAAATAAAACTTTTTTAAGGATTCTCAAAATTGTAAAATTTCACTTGAGTTGTAATCACCGTAATTTGCTTCAGTTTTTTAAGTTTTGACAAATTGTAAGAAAACTTGGATATTAGCTAGGATTTTTTCCACATCTGAATTTGCTATATTGTGAAGCAAAAGTTTTATTAATTTTTTTAAGTTGCAGAAATTACATTATGTGACTGACCTTTAAACAATAAGCAGTGCATTATAATAGTATTAGTCTATGAATGGCGCAATTAGCGATATGGTGGTTGTTTCTGACACAGAAGCAGAAAAACCAGAAAACCAACAATGGTAATAGGTATTGATGAAAATTATTGGTGAAATGACTTTTCCGTTTTATTAACAACATTAGATATGGGAAATGGGGATCTTGTGAAAGGACAAATCATGTATTATATTATCCTGATTAAAAACAATGACCCTTAGAAATAGGGGAGTTAATAAACTATATATCTTATACGCAGGTAAGTGTGGTAAGCAAACTGTATTTGTGCTTTTTAAAGTGCACTTATCCTTTTTCCAAGAAAAGTGCCTGTGTCTTGGTAGGGATGTGTATAACTGATTAGGCCATGTATACATATTGTACTTATATAGCTATAGTGTATAGATAAGTCACACTATACCAATTCTTTTTAAACCTAGCAAAAAAAAAAAAAAATGACATTATAATTAACATTATGATGGGTCTGTTTTGTTATTATGGGATTCAACACCATCTCAACAGTCAGGGTCAGATGAGGACAGAGGAGGGACACCAGGAGTGGAAGATAAAGTACAGAAAGAAAGTGGAAACTGAAAACTTGTATATGTAGAACAGAGTTGAGAGAAAAATGTTGTATCTCACACCTTGTACATACATGTCAGATAGGAAGGAGGGTCGGACTATACAGGTTTTAATTGGTATCAAAATTGGTGTTATTGGATTCCATCAGATTAGAAAGGATTTTAAAATAGTCAGGTAAGTAACGCCAGTTTTTCTGTATCAAATTACTGTAGAGCATCAGAAAGGATTCAAGTATGTAATGTACTAACCACAACATGCCACATGGATCATTTATTTACAAACACAAGTACAAGGCCAAAAGTTGGAAAAAAAATAAGTAACATTTAAAAAAATGCTAAAAAACTCAAGCAATTTATGGCCAAACAGAATATCTCAAACTTAACACATGCCATTAATTTAAATTTTTAATCTTTAACAATGGTATATTTGTTTTACATTTGTATTGATCTCCAATATGACAAAATATTCCCCAATAATAACAAAGAGAGTATATAAAAATTCTAAAATGAAATATTTACAAACAGCAACCAAAAACTTATTTTCTGTGGTTTAATGCACAAAAAAACAACTGGAATATTACAAGACTAGTCCTATAGGAAGTAAAGGGAGTTAACTCATATAAAAAAAGTGGTTCACAATGTTTATACTAACCAGTGTGCTCCTTAACTTCTGGATGTTTGTCTTCCAGACTACGACTCCGCTTTTCCTCAAAACTTTGGGAACGCACAGGTTCTGTAACAAAAAAACAAATTGACAAAAATTAATCAAATATTGACTAATATTTTATGGCAAAAACCTGCCATTGATTTTCATGATACCCTAGCAATGAAACTAATTATACAGAAATCGACATTTAAATCAGGACATCAGTAGATCTATACACTATAATATAACTTGGAAATTCTTCTTTAATGGTGATTTTTGTCAGTATTTAATAATGATTTGTTAAAGTGTTGTGTTCCGACTTAAACTACCAGCACAAGAAACAGGTTTCTACATAATGAAATGGACATGAAAATGATCAATCATCAACCTACATGTGTGTCCCGAGTCCCGAGTTCTCATTGGAAATACATCAATTATACATTGTGGGACTCATTCTTTTCAGCAATAAGATGATAAAATAAAACATAAACTAATCACTGAATGAAACATGGATTTAGGAGACGAAATGATTGTAGGAAGTGAATCTTGTAAAATACCTTGTTAATATATATACTGTATTACTCCAATAAGCCTTCTCCCCAAGTGTCAAAGTTTAGTTTTAAGATTTAAGCGGGCTTATTTGTGAACCACCTTCAGTTCACTATTTTAAGATTGATGATCTTGCAAAATTGCGGAAGTAGGCTTATTTGTGGATAAATACAGTAAAATTACCAGGACTGTAATAGGAAGGAGTAACGAATAAACACCCCACCACCGCTGGGATTCGAACTAGTGACCTCCTGATCTAGCCGGACACTCTACCGCTCGACTAAATGTCCCACTAGCTGATGCTAGTAAGGTGATCTATACACTCAACTTCTTCAAGTACTATTAAAGTTTTTTCAAGGAATTCAATTTATTTTTTGAGAATGAAATAAAACTTGACTTCTGTGAAATATATAGCATTTTTGTTTCAAGATTTCAGCAAGGCTTGGGACATCTCCAGCCCTACTTTATCTATAACAAGTGGTACATTCAACAATTCAGGGCCACTTTATACCATAAATTCAATTTGAGCATCATCCTGTATACTATACTTCAGTGAACACACTCATTCAAACCATCCTTAATGTCTGATGAAGGTGACAATTATCACAACAATGTCAGACAAAATTTTCTAACAAGTGATGATGATATACAAAAATGTATCACCAACAAGGAAAAACTAGGTATAGTGGATCTTACACCTGTAACACCTGTAACAATCTTACACCAGTAACAATCTTATACCTGTAACAATCTTACACCTGTAACAATCTTATACCTGTAACAATCTTATACCTGTAACAATCTTACACCAGTAACAATCTTATACCTGTAACAATCTTATACCTGTAACAATCTTATAGTAACAATCTTACACCAGTAACAATCTTACACCAGTAACAATCTTACACCAGTAACAATCTTACACCAGTAACAATCTTACACCAGTAACAATCTTACACCAGTAACAATCTTACACCAGTAACAATCTTACACCTGTAACAATCTTACACCAGTAACAATCTTACACCAGTAACAATCTTACACCTGTAACAATCTTATACCTGTAACAATCTTACACCTGTAACAATCTTACACCAGTAACAATCTTACACCAGTAACAATCTTACACCTGTAACAATCTTACACCAGTAACAATCTTACACCTGTAACAATCTTACACCTGTAACAATCTTACACCAGTAACAATCTTACACCTGTAACAATCTTACACCAGTAACAATCTTACACCTGTAACAATCTTACACCAGTAACAATCTTACACCAGTAACAATCTGTAACAATCTTACACCTGTAACAATCTTACACAACAATCTTATAACAATCTTACACCTGTAACAATCTTAACACCTGTAACAATCTTACAACAATCTTACACCTGTAACAATCTTACACCTGTAACAATCTTACACCTGTAACAATCTTATACCTGTAACAATCTTACACCTGTAACAATCTTACACCTGTAACAATCTTACACCTGTAACAATCTTACACCTGTAACAATCTTACACCTGTAACACCTGTAACAATCTTATACCTGTAACAATCTTATACCTGTAACAATCTTATACCTGTAACAATCTTATACCTGTAACACCTGTAACAATCTTACACCTGTAACAATCTTACACCTGTAACAATCTTACACCTGTAACAATCTTACACCTGTAACAATCTTACACCTGTAACAATCTTACACCTGTAACAATCTTACACCTGTAACAATCTTATGTAACAATCTTACACCTGTAACAATCTTACACCTGTAACAATCTTACACCTGTAACAATCTTACACCTGTAACAATCTTACACCAGTAACAATCTTATACCTGTACCTGTAACAATCTTACACCTGTAACAATCTTATACCTGTAACAATCTTATACCTGTAACAATCTTACACCTGTAACAATCTTATACCTGTACCAATCTTACACCTGTAACAATCTTACACCTGTAACAATCTTACACCAGTAACAATCTTACACCTGTAACAATCTTAACAAACAATCTTACACCTGTAACAATCTTACACCTGTAACAATCTTACACCAGTAACAATCTTACACCTGTAACAATCTTACACCTGTAACAATCTTATACCTGTAACAATCTTACACCTGTAACAATCTTATACCTGTACCAATCTTACACCAGTAACAATCTTACACCTGTAACAATCTTACACCAGTAACAATCTTATACCTGTAACAATCTTATACCTGTAACAATCTTACACCTGTAACAATCTTATACCTGTAACACCTGTAACAATCTTACACCTGTAACAATCTTACACCTGTAACAATCTTACACCTGTAACAATCTTACACCTGTAACAATCTTACACCTGTAACAATCTTACACCTGTAACAATCTTACACCTGTAACAATCTTACACCTGTAACAATCTTAGACCTGTAACAATCTTAGACCTGTAACAATCTTACACCTGTAACAATCTTACACCTGTAACAATCTTACACCTGTAACAATCTTACACCTGTAACAATCTTATACCAGTAACAATCTTACACCTGAAACACCTGTAACAATCTTACACCTGTAACAATCTTACACCTGTAACACCTGTAACAATCTTACACCTGTAACAATCTTACACCTGTAACAATCTTACACCTGTAACAATCTTATACCTGTAACACCTGTAACAATCTTATACCTGTAACAATCTTACACCTGTAACAATCTTACACCTGTAACAATCTTACACCAGTAACAATCTTATACCTGTAACAAACCTATACCTGTAACAATCTTATACCTGTAACAATCTTACACCTGTAACACCTGTAACAATCTTACACCTGAAACACCTGTAACAATCTTACACCTGTAACAATCTTACACCTGTAACACCTGTAACAATCTTATACCAGTAACAATCTTACACCTGAAACACCTGTAACAATCTTACACCTGTAACACCTGTAACAATCTTATACCTGTAACAATCTTATACCTGTAACAATCTTATACCTGTAACAATCTTACACCTGTAACAATCTTACACCTGTAACAATCTTACACCAGTAACAATCTTACACCTGTAACAATCTTACACCTGTAACAATCTCACACCTGTAACACCTGTAACAATCTCACACCTGTAACAATCTTATACCTGTAACAATCTTACACTTGTAACACCTGTAACAATCTCTCACTTGGAACAATGTCCTATTGAATTAATATTCACATTCTGAACCCCACACAATGTTTACGATAGCAAATTTAAATTTAGCACTGAGAATTCATACTGATGAAAACATTTAATAGAAAAAAAATTTATAAGTTAAAAAATAACTGAGAAATGAATCTTATTAATTCTGTTTGAATATTTATTTAAAGTAAAACATATTTCATATAACTTTTTGATGAAAAAGATTTATTACAAACATTTGAAAAAAATGTTTAAAAATAATAAAATCAAATGTATGAAAATATCTACAATATCCAATGATATGTTTAAAGCCACAAAATTAGAAAAAAAATGAGCACCAGTGACATGCAGCACAGCTAGTGCTATAGAAGGTAGTGTATTTCTACAGTGTACAACATCTACAGTATACAACACAAACACCAGCAGTATACACTCACAACAATGATCTCATCATGCTTTTAATACTACAATGTAAAGGTTACTCATTATAATAGTAAGTTTGATGCTTAACAAGTTCTTATGTTACATAAATCTCTCCTAATGCCCCAACACTTTACTTTATAATAATAACAACAATTTTTTCCAACTTATATCAATAATTCTTGTTGGGCCTGATGAAGCATGAAGCGTGCGAGGGGTCTTACTGTGGGAGGAGACTGGAGTACCTGGGGAAAACACATGTGATCAAGCAGATGACACCATAACTTTCCATATCCATTCTGGGAATCAAACCCGGACAGCGAGATAAAGAGGGTGACCTTGGCACCACCCGACCACCCACATGTACTGATTATAGATGTAAGTTAATGATCATAAAAGTAGTGTTGTAATTACGTCACACACAAATATTTGTCATGATTTGATTTGATGTCAATTCTGTTTCAACATCAAATATAAAACGGCCACATTTCACTATCACTGTTCCTGAACACTTGATCCTGTTTGCCTTGTATGTGTCTGTGGAAATCTTTTGGTCACATTATGTCCTAGTTATATTGAATTTGAGTCTGGATTATGATTATGTTGACGTGTTGATATTTTCTGGTTGTTTTTGTCCTAGTTTTATTGAATTTGAGTTTGGATTATGATTATGTTGACGTGTTGGTATTTTCTTGTTGTATGAAAATTCTCTGATATACACTTGTAATATGATTAATAATAGTGATCCAACACTCCTTATTGAGAACTTTGCAGTAGCATCCTCGTGCCGTGGAAGATAACATAATAAATAAAAAGGAAAACTCAAGAAATGTGACCGTCATCAGGACGAAGATTTATTGTGACATCTAAGGTGTAGTAATGTGGTATAAGCTACATTATGACGTCATAGTAAAGTTGATGTAACAATTATTAGATGACGTCATAGTAAAGTTGATGTAACAATTATTAGATGACGTCATAGTAAAGTTGATGTAACAATTATTAGATGACGTCATAGTAAAGTTGATGTTACAGTTATTACAGTTCTTATTTGTAATCTAAAAACTTTCCATACACACTGTGGACACGGATTGTCTGGTTCTGAACGGTGGTTGGGAGTCCATCCTGTACATCTGTGTACTACTGAAGCTTTGTGGATGATGCGTGGTTCTCATTAACATATTGTTGGTCCTCAAGGTTTTAGGGACACTGTCCTGTTCTTTACATTTGATAATCAAGGTGGTGTTAACTTCTTGTCCATTTGACGACTACTTTTCTCAGGTTTTTTGTAGAAGATGGTTGTTGTAATTTTGGTAGGATGTCCAGGATAACTGTTCAAGTTTAGCGTTGTATCATTATCAGCGGTAGAATGACTAGAGACCATCCTGTATCTCTTCTTGGGTCAAGCAATTCTACATCTCAGATGTTTTTCACAATAAATCTTTGTTCTGATGAGAGTCGCATAGGGGCGAAACATGTAGACAATTCTCACACCAAGTCTTCACGTTGTTTAGTTTCCTTTTATTTATTTTGTATTATGATTGTACAAGTGGCAAAGTGCCTTATATGTCATCTGATGAGTTCTATCACCAACGGGAAATGTCAGACCTAATTTTAGAAAAACACTTTAAGACCTGTCCGATCTTGGAATGTATTTGATTCTACCTTATTTGGTCTTGAAAATAAGATTTCTGAAATCAAAGTCAATCAGACCCCATTTTAGCCCCACCCAACATCCGTTGAGAGTCAGCCAAGTTCAGTATATGCAAACCAACATATTCTCATCCTGTACTAAAATCCACTTCTGTATGAATTATTTCCAATGGAAATTAAACAAATTATGCTCAAAAATGTTATTTGCAAAGCTATGTAACCATTGTAAAATTTACACCTCCCAAGGGAGTATACGTGAAAGGCTTAGAACATGGAACTCGAAAATTTGTATCCATGAAGAGAAGAAGTTGAAATACTCAGTATTTGAGAATGCACGACATATGACCACGGACAAAAATATTGCAATAGTGAGTTTGCCTCAGGTGACCTAAAAACCATCAACAGCTATTAAATCTTTAAATATTGCTCTGTTCTATTTTAAGAAACTGTTACCTTGACCTGATAAGAACATGTTAAACACTAACTATGTCATATATATCAAAACCTAATGTATCATACTTTAGAAGTCAGAATTCTGATACAAATCTTAAATAGACAAAATGATTAGAAAAAGCCCACATCATCCCTAATGAGTGATTATGACTGATTGATAATTTCTGATAGAAATTGGCTTCATGATCACTCTCCTGTAATATTCCTAGTTAAGTCCAAGTGCACAACAATGTTGAATATTACAACAGAATCTAAAAGCATTACAATGGTAATCCTGTTACAGTCTAACATACAGTAGAGGACAAAGATAAAGTCTGTACAGAATTCAAACAAACCAGAAAATTTTCAGTTCATTCTGACTGAATAATAATCTGTGGATTGAAATTTTTTTCTCAGATTTTTTTTTTTGGACAATTTTGAAATTTCAGAATTTTTCATTAGCTCTGTACAAACCCTACAATAACATGCAGTGCATATTGATTCTATGTACTCACTATTGTATACATAGACACGCAGTACCAGTGCAATGTGCAGTCTTACCTGGCTTAAATGCTAAAATTGGCAGAATTACCTCCCTTGAGTAAGCTTTTCCACCGAAGAAAAAACACATTTCAATATTTCAATTCTTCACCGATAAAGTTGACAGCTGGTATTGGATGATTAATTATTTAAGAATGTATTTAAAACTGCTTTTAGATTTGATAAATTCAAAATATGAACGCCAACTTCGTTACAGGATATCAGCACAAACAGCAAGAGATTCATTCAATTTTTCTGTATTACAGCAAGCATACATAGAACCTTCCACCAGAATCTGAAAACATTTCAACACTTTCCTTAACATTTTCATGCCTCATTGTGCCTTAAAAGTTATTTCCACAAAATCGTTTTTTTGATCCACAAAAACTCTTGGAATGTTCATGTGATGGGAAATCTATCACAAATAAATAAATTCTGTGCTGAATTTTACCTGATGGTGTTGTAACACCATGATACACCTGACTTTTCAGATGATAAATTTCTTCGTCTGGGTAACATATTTGGTGCTAACAATATCTTTAAATACTAAATTTCATTGAAATCAGATTTTGTTTCATTGGTAACTAATTGTAAACATATATATTGAAGTTTCATTTAAATTCCACATTAAAGATTTTTTTTAAAAAATTGGCGGACACCTACATGACAGAAAAACAGGAAGAATCAGAATAATGAGAACAAACAACACAAATTCTACTTGGAGTTTATCAACAACTTCTATTTTTGTTTAGGATTGAAATTAAACTTTCCCGTGAATATTTTACAAGAAATTCATACTAAAACCCTATAAATGTCAAAGCCATTTAAAACAGAAAAAGAAAGGTGGGAGGGAGTCCAAAATAACATATTTCATGAAACACAATTCTTTCCCTGCAATGTCCTTTTAAAAGAAAGCATTTAGTAAAGATAACACAGACCATTATTTTACCTTCCCAAATGTGTTAGTAACATGTCTAATACAGAAAGCACTGGTCAAGCTAAAATCTCTCGGTGATGCCAAAACAAAAATTCTACAGAAACCATTAACAATGATGCATGGAGTGTTTAAACAATCATGCAGAATATCACTTTTAAACCAACACATCTTTGGGATGCTATTTTTCATTTTTAACACTGGTTTGATTTTTTTTGGGGGGAAAAAAAAGAAGAAGAAAAAACAATAATCTAATTTATTAATTTTAATCACTTTTTTATGCAAGAAAAACATTTACACATCAAGACGAGCATCACCTTTTAATGATTTTTTTCTCTCAAATTTGAATTGATTTCTATCACTTGTTTAGTGACATGGGAATTTAAAATAACGAAGACTGAGATATATATTTTCACATTTTGTTCTTGAAATAATGACTTAATAAGTTAAATGTCTAGAAGATTCATTCCACCACCATATAAGTGGGAAAGATGTTCATCAGAAATTTCATCTACTCAAAAATACCACGAAGGAACTGATTTTTTAAAAATTTTTTCTAAATTATAATTCTCTGTAAAGGACATAATCTAACAAACCTGAAAGACAATGAAATTCTTCCAAAAAAAAAAAATATATATATATATATTATATATATGTCAAGATCATGGTCCTGTGACTTCTCATTTTCACAATATATGTATTTGTTCTTTGCCTGTGAGATCCTTAAGTAGCAATCTTACGAAATAAAATATTTTCTTAAAATACTGACCTTTGGGCCTGGAGGCCTGTATCTCTATAGGTTGAGAAGTATTGACAGGAGTAGCTCCCCCTGACGATGGGACACTACCATCTCTGTCTGTGGCATCTGTCTCGGTCTACAATAAAGGAACAATATTCTACATCACTTCAGCAGGATAATATTTAATCATGTAAAGTTACCATATTCTTCTCATAAAAACCAAACCTAAAAAATATCATGCATTTAAATTTAATGAAATTTGGATATGATCATTTCAAAAACACTGTCACTCGATATCAACCTTTTTGATTGATAGGTCTGACCACTTGCATCAAAATAAGGATGAACCTAAACACGAAAAACATGAGGCCTGGACTCGTATACGCGAGTCCCAATAATCATTGAAAAGCCAGTATTACCACTTCAGTAGGTGACTTATTGTCCAACTCATCTGTAACAGATTCTCTGCTCTTCTGATCGTCATCACCCCAATCCCATTCTGGGACACTTGGGTCTGGAGATTTGGGTTCTGGCACCTAGAAGCATGAAAAAGGTTAAGATAGATTTTGAAAAACATATTTTAATCCCAAAGTATAAACTTGATGCTGAAGTGTATTTCTTCATCTCAAAAGCATGAAGGAAGACAATTTTAGAAAATTCTTCGGTATCTGTTAATGTCACATGACTGAAAAATGCTGCAGCTTGATACTGAAGTATCAACAAAACGGCCACAAGCCTTAGTGGTTGAGGGCCACAACCCTTAATGGTTGAGGGCCACGACCCCTAATGGTTGAGGACCACAACCCCTAATGGTTGAGGGCCACAACCCCTAATGGTTGAGGGCCACGACCCCTAATGGTTGAGGGCCACGACCCTTAATGGTTGAGGGCCACGACCCCTAATGGTTGAGGGCCACGACCCCTAATGGTTGAGGGCCACGACCCTTAATGGTTGAGGGCCACGACCCTTAATGGTTGAGGGCCACGACCCTTAATGGTTGAGGGCCACAAGCCTTAATGGTTGAGGGCCACAACCCCTAATGGTTGAGGGTCACAAGCCTTAATGGTTGAGGGCCACAACCCTTAGTGGTTGAGGGCCATGACCCCTAATGGTTGAGGGCCACAAGCCTTAATGGTTGAGGGCCACAACCCTTAGTGGTTGAGGGCCATGACCCCTAATGGTTGAGGGTCACAAGCCTTAATGGTTGAGGGCCACAACCCTTAGTGGTTGAGGGCCATGACCCCTGTTTTTGCTCTTTATGATACGAAATTTGAAACCTACACAGAAATAGTGATAACAATTTTTAACTACAAAATCCAGGATGGTCGCCTGACACCATTTTGTTTTTCTCATCAGTTCCAAAATCTAACAAGCACAACTAGGGACCAAAAGGAGCCTACATATGAAATTTGAGAGAGATCCAGGATGTCTGCCAACTTACTTTTGTTTTTGACTTATCAAATGCCAGTGACATATCTTCCTTATTCAGAGGTTTTGATGTTTCAGTGTTGCCATGGTGATCAAATATGTCCGCCTCCTGTAGCTCCTCTAATGTTTCTTGGATCACCATCTGTGCTGAGCGCGGCCGGTCGACGTAGGTCATCCTCTGTCCGTCATCCCCTGGGGTCAGCGTGTCCATGGCAACCTGTTCGTTTGTTTCGTTTGTGTCATCTCCTGTGCTTAGACGCTAAAATCATCAAGTTTTCATTTAGTAATCCATGAAAATAGACCTTGTACTTATCTGATTAATGTGTTTTCATTTCATATGAAATATATGAAGCTGTACAGTGATCAATCTATCATTTATTTCAATGAGTTCTTGTCACCTTTATTGATCAAATAAATGGTCCCACCAAAAATGTAAAATTTAAGTATTTGCAGAGAGTCTATGAGTCCTCTCAAAATTATATCAGTACAGGACTCAAACCTTGCAAGTACATTTATCACTGGCTGTAACAAGTCTGTGTTCTGTACATTTATCACTGACTGTAACAAGTCTGTGTTCTGTACATTTATCACTGGCTGTAACAAGTCTGTGTTCTGTACATTTATCACTGGTTGTAACAAGTCTGTCTTCTGTACATTTATCACTGGTTGTAACAAGTCTGTGTTCTGTACATTAATCACTGGTTGTAACAAGTCTGTGTTCTGTACATTAATCACTGGCTGTAACAAGTCTGTGTTCTGTACATTAATCACTGGCTGTAACAAGTCTACTTGTGTTCTGTACATTAATCACTGGCTGTAACAAGTCTGTGTTCTGTACATTTATCACTGGCTGTAACAAGTCTGTGTTCTGTACATTTATCACTGGTTGTAACAAGTCTGTGTTCTGTACATTTATCACTGGCTGTAACAAGTCTGCTTGTGTTCTGTACATTTATCACTGACTGTAATAAGTCTGTGTTCTGTACATTTATCACTGGTTGTAACAAGTCTGTGTTCTGTACATTTATCACTGACTGTAACAAGTCTGTGTTCTGTACATTAATCACTGGCTGTAACAAGTCTGCTTGTGTTCTGTACATTTATCACTGGTTGTAACAAGATTGTGTTCTGTACATTTATCACTGGTTGTAACAAGTCTACTTGTGTTCTGTACATTTATCACTGGTTGTAACAAGTCTGTGTTCTGTACATTTATCACTGACTGTAACAAGTCTACTTGTGTTCTGTACATTTATCACTGGTTGTAACAAGTCTGTGTTCTGTACATTTATCACTGGTTGTAACAAGTCTGTGTTCTGTACATTTATCACTGACTGTAACAAGTCTGTGTTCTGTACATTTATCACTGGTTATAACAAGTCTGTGTTCTGTACATTTATCACTGACTGTAACAAGTCTGTGTTCTGTACATTAATCACTGGCTGTAACAAGTCTGTGTTCTGTACATTTATCACTGACTGTAACAAGTCTGTGTTCTGTACATTAATCACTGGCTGTAACAAGTCTGCTTGTGTTCTGTACATTTATCACTGGTTGTAACAAGTCTGTGTTCTGTACATTTATCACTGACTGTAACAAGTCTACTTGTGTTCTGTACATTTATCACTGGTTGTAACAAGACTGTGTTCTGTACATTTATCACTGGTTGTAACAAGTCTGTGTTCTGTACATTTATCACTGACTGTAACAAGTCTACTTGTGTTCTGTACATTTATCACTGGTTGTAACAAGTCTGTGTTCTGTACATTTATCACTGGTTGTAACAAGTCTGTGTTCTGTACATTTATCACTGGCTGTAACAAGTCTGTGTTCTGTACATTTATCACTGGTTGTAACAAGTCTGTGTTCTGTACATTTATCACTGACTGTAAAAAGTCTGTGTTCTGTACATTTATCACTGGTTGTAACAAGTCTGTGTTCTGTACATTTATCACTGGTTGTAACAAGTCTGTGTTCTGTACATTTATCACTGGCTGTAACAAGTCTGTGTTCTGTACATTTATCACTGGTTGTAACAAGTCTGTGTTCTGTACATTTATCACTGGCTGTAACAAGTCTGCTTGTGTTCTGTACATTTATCACTGACTGTAATAAGTCTGTGTTCTGTACATTTATCACTGGTTGTAACAAGTCTGTGTTCTGTACATTTATCACTGACTGTAACAAGTCTGTGTTCTGTACATTAATCACTGGCTGTAACAAGTCTGCTTGTGTTCTGTACATTTATCACTGGTTGTAACAAGTCTGTGTTCTGTACATTTATCTCTGACTGTAACAAGTCTACTTGTGTTCTGTACATTTATCACTGGTTGTAACAAGATTGTGTTCTGTACATTTATCACTGGTTGTAACAAGTCTACTTGTGTTCTGTACATTTATCACTGGTTGTAACAAGTCTGTGTTCTGTACATTTATCACTGACTGTAACAAGTCTACTTGTGTTCTGTACATTTATCACTGGTTGTAACAAGTCTGTGTTCTGTACATTTATCACTGGTTGTAACAAGTCTGTGTTCTGTACATTTATCACTGACTGTAACAAGTCTGTGTTCTGTACATTTATCACTGGTTGTAACAAGTCTGTGTTCTGTACATTTATCACTGACTGTAACAAGTCTGTGTTCTGTACATTAATCACTGGCTGTAACAAGTCTGCTTGTGTTCTGTACATTTATCACTGGTTGTAACAAGTCTGTGTTCTGTACATTTATCACTGACTGTAACAAGTCTACTTGTGTTCTGTACATTTATCACTGGTTGTAACAAGACTGTGTTCTGTACATTTATCACTGGTTGTAACAAGTCTGTGTTCTGTACATTTATCACTGACTGTAACAAGTCTACTTGTGTTCTGTACATTTATCACTGGTTGTAACAAGTCTGTGTTCTGTACATTTATCACTGGTTGTAACAAGTCTGTGTTCTGTACATTTATCACTGACTGTAAAAAGTCTGTGTTCTGTACATTTATCACTGGTTGTAACAAGTCTGTGTTCTGTACATTTATCACTGGTTGTAACAAGTCTGTGTTCTGTACATTTATCACTGGCTGTAACAAGTCTGTGTTCTGTACATTTATCACTGGTTGTAACAAGTCTGCTTGTATTCTAATGATAAAAAGATCATATCTGCCTCTTTACATCAAGACATGTGATTAAGATCAATAGTTATATTCTCTCTATTTCTATAATGGTGAACAGCCAATCTACTCACTACATGAAGCAATGAGTGGCTTTGTTTCTATCACTAGTTTTATAAGCAAGACTACTGTATCACTTTTCAATCTTTGTACACATTCCTTGATCGTATATAATACAACTGACCTTCTCCTTTTTCGACAGTGTATGATAACCACGACCCACAGGGAAATCGAGAATCTTTTCCCCACAGGTATACGCTCCTGGACTAAAGTGGAGCTCCACATGAAACCGCTCGTCTGACGAGATTTCCTGAGATCAGAAACAAAGGATCATGTTAAATAAGATTTATAAACAGGTATACAACTTTACAGTACAATCTCAGTGCAGGTGTGACATTTTCTGATAGAAATTTGTTCAATTTGGATAATGAAATCAGAAATAAAACAGCTTGATGCTTTTAATTTTTCTTTTTCAATTAACACTTATTTCTAACAAACATTTGATTTAAAGTTATTCATGTATCTTGCCTTTAAAAAAAGTAACAGGATTATTAAGTCTAAATACAGCTGGTAGTAAATTCTACACTACTTAACCTTACTGGGGTCCTCAAACATCATCACTGTCTGGTAAACGTATCAATTCTACACTACTTACCTTACTGGGGTCCTCAAACATCATCACTGTCTGGTAAACGTATCAATTCTACACTACTTACCTTACTGGGGTCCTCAAACATCATCACTGTCTGGTAAACGTATCAATTCTACACTACTTACCTTACTGGGGTCCTCAAACATCATCACTGTCTGGTAAACGTATCAATTCTACACTACTTACCTTACTGGGGTCCTCAAACATCATCACTGTCTAGTAAACGTATCAATTCTACACTACTTAACCTTACTGGGGTCCTCAAACATCATCACTGTCTGGTAAACATATCAATTCTACACTACTTACCTTACTGGGGTCCTCAAACATCATCACTGTCTAGTAAACGTATCAATTCTACACTACTTAACTTACTGGGGTCCTCAAACATCATCACTGTCTGTTAAACGTATCAATTCTACACTACTTACCTTACCGAGGTCCTCAAACATCATCACTGTCTGGTAAACGTATTTCTACACTACTTAACCTTACTGGGGTCCTCAAACATCATCACTGTCTGGTAAACGTATCAATTCTACACTACTTACCTTACTGGGGTCCTCAAACATCATCACTGTCTGGTAAACGTATCAATTCTACACTACTTACCTTACCGAGGTCCTCAAACATCATCACTGTCTGGTAAACGTATCAATTCTACACTACTTAACCTTACTGGGGTCCTCAAACATCATCACTGTCTGGTAAACATATCAATTCTACACTACTTAACCTTACTGGGGTCCTCAAACATCATCACTGTCTGGTAAACGTATCAATTCTACACTACTTACCTTACTGGGGTCCTCAAACATCATCACTGTCTGGTAAACGTATCAATTCTACACTACTTACCTTACCGAGGTCCTCAAACATCATCACTGTCAGGTAAACGTATCAATTCTACACTACTTACCTTACTGGGGTCCTTAAACATCATCACTGTCTGGTAAACGTATCAATTCTACACTACTTACCTTACCGAGGTCCTCAAACATCATCACTGTCTGGTAAACATATCAATTCTACACTACTTACCTTACTGGGGTCCTCAAACATCATAATCACAATCTGTGTCATGTAGTTCAGCTCTGATAGTTCACTCACATAATCCATAGCTTTAGACCATTGGGAATCTGTTTTGTCCTAAGAATAAAACAAGGCTATCTTAGTCTCAAAACATTTCATATCTCAAGGGTGATGACTGCCAAAGGCTTCTACAATGATATAAAGAGGATCTTTTACAACTTTCCATTCATATGAAACAAGTTTGGCTCTGTAACATGAAAAATTGGTGATGGGTTTAATAAATCCTATATCAAATGGAAATGAATGTAATATTCTCTTTATCAAATAATTTAGATAATTTGGAAAATGGTTGTGAAACAGCTTTTTAATTGACTGAAAAAAATCTTTAATGGTGATATTGTCACTTCATATCTCTATCTTTGCTTATATCACAACTTATATACATCTGTTATTTTGTTAGGGTCGAACTTCTGATAAGTCAAGATATTTTCAAAGGTCCTTTGAATTTCAAGATAACAAAGTTCAACTGTATATACTGTAATGAAAATGTATATAAATATGATGAAATGAAGTTATGACGTCACAATGGAAGAAATGTGAACCATCAGCAAATCACCACTACGCTGAGACTTATGTCTTAATACCAACAATTTTCCAATGTCTCTAAAACATTGAAACTTATGGCTACTCTATAGCTACAAAGATTTCCTCAACATCCAAAATATTGGTGGATTATTGAGGATGACTGGGACATTTTTCTGGTGATTTTCCGATGTATATGTATACCCTTATGTCTTGAAATTCAGTGTATGTTGTCTAAGCTGAGAATATTAAAGTCAAACATCAAAGTTTGTGTACAGCTACAGAAAATAAAATCTGTTTGTTTCAACGATACTATAGTAATAATAGTAAATCATGATAATGAATTCTTTTATTTACACAGGGTTACATATTTAGACATCTAGTTCACAATATGGCCCCATTAAAGAATGAGAGAATGTGGCTCTCCAATGTTTATAATCTATTATTTAACGAGATCAGTGAAATGAGTTACCCCACAGAGTCCTCCATATCGCAGCATGTTGAGGAGGGAATGGATGTGGCTCTCACTGGTGAAGTACAGCCGGGTCCTTACAAACCTCTCCGGTGATGCCACATTGTTGGAATATCTAAAGGTAAAACATGTTCATGTTATATATGCTACAATGGCCATTACAGAACAATAAATTAAAGTGATTTAATTAGATATCATTAAAAACATATCAATCTCTTTTTATTTTTCGGATTTAACACAACTCTACAGCCAAATTTTCATGTCATCTGGAATTTTATAATGTGAAGCCTGCATAAATCAGGCTAAAATTCCATTATGCAGAGAGAAGAGGGATTTTGAAGACATAATAAATTTCCTCTTTTTGGCCCCATCATTCTGCTTCTAGGAAAACTAGACCTGCAAACTCTAAGCCTATATCTGGACCAAAACAAATATATGTTTCACTACTACACTAATAATACTAACTTAAAGGCACTACATCACACATACTTGGAATTGAGACGAGTACTTTCTCCCTCTTCATCTTCAAATGGACAAACACACTGTTGTAGATCACTCCTGATCTTTCTCATCAGTGGTGTACACAGGCTCTGGGAGATGTGTTGTTTCTCTCCAACAGTGATACCATACTCCTTCAAATAAAAACATACTCCTTCAAATATAACCATACTCCTTCAAATAAAAACATACTCCTTCAAATATAACCATACTCCTTCAAATATAACCATACTCCTTCAAATAAAAACATACTCCTTCAAATATAACCATACTCCTTCAAATAAAAACATACTCCTTCAAATATAACCATACTCCTTCAAATAAAAACATACTCCTTCAAATATAACCATACTCCTTCAAATATAACCATACTCCTTCAAATATAAACATACTCCTTCAAATATAAACATACTCCTTCAAATAAAAACATACTCCTTCAAATATAACCATACTCCTTCAAATAAAAACATACTCCTTCAAATATAACCATACTCCTTCAAATATAACCATACTCCTTCAAATATAACCATACTCCTTCAAATATAACCATACTCCTTCAAATATAACCATACTCCTTCAAATAAAAACATACTCCTTCAAATATAACCATACTCCTTCAAATATAACCATACTCCTTCAAATAAAAACATACTCCTTCAAATATAACCATACTCCTTCAAATAAAAACATAAAATATAACCATACTCCTTCAAATATAACCATACTCCTTCAAATATAACCATACTCCTTCAAATAAAAACATACTCCTTCAAATATAACCATACTCCTTCAAATATAACCATACTCCTTCAAATATAACCATACTCCTTCAAATATAACCATACTCCTTCAAATATAACCATACTCATTCAAATATAACCATACTCCTTCAAATATAAACATACTCCTCAAATATAACCATACTCCTTCAAATATAACCATACTCCTTCAAATATAACCATACTCCTTCAAATATAACCATACTCCTTCAAATATAACCATACTCCTTCAAATATAACCATACTCCTTCAAATATAACCATACTCCTTCAAATATAACCATACTCCTTCAAATATAACCATACTCCTTCAAATATAACCATACTCCTTCAAATATAACCATACTCCTTCAAATATAACCATACTCCTTCAAATATAAACATACTCCTTCAAATATAACCATACTCCTTCAAATATAACCATACTCCTTCAAATATAACCATACTCATTCAAATAAAGTCATACTTCCTCAAAGAAAATTGAACTACTAAAAGTTAATATGTAAGATTAAATTATTCAAAATTGTGCTAGAAATAAGTCAGATGTTTCATTACAATGTATCTGCCTGTGTTAATTTAGTACTGACATCTACTGTGAACAATTATGTATTGACCAGAGGCCAGAGGTATTCTGTCGTTACTGATCTACTACACATGTTCATGTATTAGTTTGTTCCCTGATTATATAAGTCATTACCTGAAGCCTATCTAAGTAGTTTGTATGAAGATCAGTGTAACATTATCTTGTTATAAACAGCCGAATCTCAACCCTAGTCTCAACTTATGAAATTTAACAAGTTATCATTTTAATGGCGCCATGACTCAAACAAACCTGGCAGTCAACAACAAAGGATCAATGAGCTACAAGGAAAAAAACAACACCAACTTATGACTATCATGCCATGTGATTTGTCTGAGGAGGTACCCGCTCAAGAGTGTTTATGAACAATGCTGTGTCTTAATTGTATGTATATGAAGGGAGACATTGCTATGTATTACCTGTGGTATAACAATATCAGACAGTGATGACCCTGTATATGGAGGGACATAGAGATATGTATTACCTGTGGTATAACAATATCAGACAGTGATGACCCTGTATATGGAGGGAGACATTGCTATGTATTACCTGTGGTATAACAATATCAGACAGTGATGACCCTGTATATGGAGGGAGACATTGCTATGTATTACCTGTGGTATAACAATATCAGACAGTGATGACCCTGTATATGGAGGGAGACATTGCTATGTATTACCTGTGGTATAACAATATCAGACAGTGATGACCCTGTATATGGAGGGAGACATTGCTATGTATTACCTGTGGTATAACAATATCAGACAGTGATGACCCTGTATATGGAGGGAGACATTGCTATGTATTACCTGTGGTATAACAATATCAGACAGTGATGACCCTGTATATGGAGGGAGACATTGCTATGTATTACCTGTGGTATAACAATATCAGACAGTGATGACCCTGTATATGGAGGGACATAGAGATATGTATTACCTGTGGTATTGCTATGTATTACCTGTATTACCTGGTATAACAATATCAGACAGTGATGACCCTGTATATGGAGGGAGACATTGCTATGTATTACCTGTGGTATAACAATATCAGACAGTGATGACCCTGTATATGGAGGGAGACATTGCTATGTATTACCTGTGGTATAACAATATCAGACAGTGATGACCCTATATGGAGGGAGACATTGCTATGTATTACCTGTGGTATAACAATATCAGACAGTGATGACCCTGTATATGGAGGGAGACCTATGTATTACCTGTGGTATATATCAGACAGTGATGACCCTGTATATGGACATTGCTATGTATTACCTGTGGTATAACAATATCAGACAGTGATGACCCTGTATATGGAGGGAGACATTGCTATGTATTACCTGTGGTATAACAATATCAGACAGTGATGACCCTGTATATGGAGGGAGACATTGCTATGTATTACCTGTGGTATAACAATATCAGACAGTGATGACCCTGTATATGGAGGGAGACATTGCTATGTATTACCTGTGGTATAACAATATCAGACAGTGATGACCCTGTATATGGAGGGAGACATTGCTATGTATTACCTGTGGTATAACAATATCAGACAGTGATGACCCTGTATATGCTATGGAGGGAGACATTGCTATGTATTACCTGTGGTATAACAATATCAGACAGTGATGACCCTGTATATGGAGGGAGACATTGCTATGTATTACCTGTGGTATAACAATATCAGACAGTGATGACCCTGTATATGGAGGGAGACATTGCTATGTATTACCTGTGGTATAACAATATCAGACAGTGATGACCCTGTATATGGAGGGAGACATTGCTATGTATTACCTGTGGTATAACAATATCAGACAGTGATGACCCTGTATATGGAGGGAGACATTGCTATGTATTACCTGTGGTATAACAATATCAGACAGTGATGACCCTGTATATGGAGGGAGACATTGCTATGTATTACCTGTGGTATAACAATATCAGCCAGTGATGACCCTGTATATGGAGGGAGACATTGCTATGTATTACCTGTGGTATAACAATATCAGACAGTGATGACCCTGTATATGGAGGGAGACATTGCTATGTATTACCTGTGGTATAACAATATCAGACAGTGATGACCCTGTATATGGAGGGAGACATTGCTATGTATTACCTGTGGTATAACAATATCAGACAGTGATGACCCTGTATATGGAGGGAGACATTGCTATGTATTACCTGTGGTATAACAATATCAGACAGTGATGACCCTGTATATGGAGGGAGACATTGCTATGTATTACCTGTGGTATAACAATATCAGACAGTGATGACCCTGTATATGGACGGAGACATTGCTATGTATTACCTGTGGTATAACAATATCAGCCATAGCCCGTGAACATTTGAACAGGTCCTCAGCTTTCTTGATTTGAAGCGTGGATTGATTATGTTGTAGGTCGTACTTAATACAGTCGTAGATATCAGGGATTTTACTGATGTCGAAACGGCCATCCTTCATCCTGAAATCTTTTTCTAGTTTTGCCCAGCGACGAATCAGCAACTCCCATGATTCTCCATTGTAAAGTTTGAGTTCTGTATAATATAAACCGTACAGTCATTAATGTAGCTCATATAGATCACTGTATTATCTCTTATATTGTAAGTTTTATTGTTAGAGAATAAATGTTCCAGTGAAACAAAATCACAGTCAATTTTTAGACAGTTTGTTAAGTCTGATTGTCAAATTAAGCACATGTTTGAACAGCCATTTTTTATTTTTTGAAATCTACCTTACTTTATGTGTACCTAACATCTTGTCATAAACTGACCCCAGTTTACTACTTCATATGGTACCTCAACTCACCAGTATTTGATCTCAACCTATCACTGTGTATGTACCTCAACTCACCAGTATTTGAACCCAACCTACCACTGTGTATGTACCTCAACTAACCAGTATTTGATTCCAACCTACCACTATGTATGTACCTCAACTAACCAGTATTTGATCGCTGCCAACCACTATGTATGTACCTCACCATAGCTGGATATTTTCTCCACTTACCACTGCCTGGATGGTTTGGTCATTAAATTTGATCCTTACCTACAACAGGGTTGCTGTATCCACCTTGTTAGTGTGCTCTGACCTTTGAAGGAATTGACCTGGACATACCACAGTGTGGGCATATGACTTATCTTACAACAACGTTGCTTACTTTTCTGTGTTAGTACATTGCCCCTTGCCTTGAACATCACTCTGACCTTTACCTTGACCTTCACTCTGTTTTTTTTTTTTTCAAAACTTTTATTAACAAAAGACAATGACATATACAACACATACAAAACATGGACATACTTTACATATACAGTAACAATACAAAACAATTTTTAACATTACTTCAGACCTTCACTCTGACCTTTACCTTGACCTTCACTCTGTTTTTTTTTTTTCAAAACTTTTATTAACAAAAGACAATGACATATACAACACATACAAAACATGGACATACTTTACATATACAGTAACAATACAAAACAATTTTTAACATTACTTCAGACCTTCACTCTGACCTTTGCACTGACCTTCACTCTGACCTTTGCCCTGACCTTCACTCTGGCCTTCATATTTACCTTTACCCTGACTTACCTCTGTGTCGGTGCTCCATCTTGAGTCGGCGTATTTGAGCGGTCAGTTCCTTCACCATATCATGGATATTACGGCACATCTTCTGTGGGTTGTAGATATACTTCAGGGCACGACTCAAGGAGTCTGTCCGTGTCGGGGCCAACTAACAAACAAAAGAAAGATTTTAAACATACTGATTTTCCTCTCATATGAAATTCAATTTACATAAAATTAAACAAATTCAGAATATAAAATTTGTTTACAAAATCAAAACTTGGTCTGAATATTACACATAAAAAACTTGGTAAAAAGTAGAAAAAAGGAAGAAAACATCAACATGGCAAATGAACATGTAACACTAAGTACATAATACAAAATTAACAGGTAAGAAAATAAAAGCAAACTTTACAATTCTCCATGTTACTGGTGTAAAAACTTGAGCAAACCTTTTCATAGTCAACTTCATCAAACTCCTTGTTCACATTCAACATGCTCATCAGTCGTTCTTTGACTCTGAAATAACATTAAGAATCATTTCAAAACAAAGCAGTCCCAAAGGTATTTACTAACACAGTGTAGACTTTTTACAACAGGCAAGGGTAGTAGGAATCTACAGATCTATAGTGTAAATAGCACTTTTACAGCTGACCTACATGTGTTGGTACTTGGAGGTTTGTCTCTCTGATTCAGAGACTGAAACAACACTTTTACAGCTGACTTACATGTGTTGGTACTTGGAGGTTTGTCTCTCTGATTCAGAGACTGAAACAACACTTTTACAGCTGACTTACATGTGTTGGTACTTGGAGGTTTGTCTCTCTGATTCAGAGACTGAAACAACACTTTTACAGCTGACTTACATGTGTTGGTACTTGGAGGTTTCACCCTGTTTGTCCAATAGTCCATTAGTATTAGCGCTCTTCACCATCTGTACTAAGATTGGAGTTAGCTCCCCTTCCAAGGCCAGCAACCCCTGTCAATAGGATTTACGTTATTACAATAAGCTTTGTTTTAGTTTATTACATCAAAATGATGTTTCCTGAAAAATAAATGAATCAATAAAATAACAAACTATTTATAAACGAATTAAAGAAAAAATTAATTTAAGATGTACTGTAACCATATTCCTGGCAATTGTCATGTTGTAAACAGATCACATTCATTATCATTTATTTACAAATTCCACTTACAAATTTAAACTGTAAATTTGAGAGTCTGAGCAAAAGATCTCTCTATATGACCTTGACTTACACACCTGTGCAAACCTATAATCCTTAATGAAAGCAGTATGACCTTGACCCATACATCTGAGAAAATAAAGTTCTACCGAGCAAATAAGCTGTTTTACCTTGACATATGAATCTGTACAAAAACTTGACCCACATATCTGAGAAAATAATGATTTATAGAGCTGTATGACCTTGACCTACAAACCTTAGCAAAAGCTGCTGCAGTCATCTGGACACGTCCCTCATCAGAAGCATAGATTTTGAGGTCATGTCGGAAAGTGCTGTGAAGGCGAAGGAATCCTAAACCTGGTGTCTCAAACTGGCCTGTAATAGGGAGGGGACAGTAAATGAAATCAAGGCATGATGGTCTCTTAAAACTGATTAAAAATTCTATATTCTATTCTTACCAATCAACTAAGCTGTTTTAATCCTAATCATCATTACTCTTTCAATCTTTATTTACAATTTGTTAATTCAGGAAGCAAATTTATCAGGTTAGAAAATTGCTCAGAAACAGTCATTTTTCAGGGTATACACCAGGTATATAAAACACTAGGTTTTATATACAAGATCTTCCCAGGATACATCTGGTTATCCTTGCTATAAACAAGCAGTTAAAAGAGTCTTTACATTATTGATCCTTCAGACTTTCAATAAGGTCAAGGTCATTTCTTTGAGTTTATTTTATTGGTTTCATATCTGCTTGATTTCTGTAACTAAACATTTCTCTGTTAGTGAGAAGTTCTCTGGAGACCTGCACACATTTGACCTCTGTGACCTTTAAATTTATTAATTACAACTATAGTTGTTACTTTGTCCACAAAGTCATCTGACCTTTGTGACCTTAAAAGGTATTGTTTACAACTGCAGGTTTTACCTTGTCCACCAGGATATAGCGTCCTGAAAGCTTTGCCTAAATCTTCTGCTTGTATTTTTCCAGCCGGAGTTAACTCCCCTCCCCACTTCACTATCAACAATAAAGACGGCTGGCGTGGAGAGTCATCTAATAAAAAGATAAATAAATGTAAGAACAGATACAACCTTAATACCTTATCACTGAAAATATACTGTAATATATAGAGCACAATGAGGAAGACAACAGTGACAATTATCATATGATAAATACATTAGATTAGACTTGGCTTGGTAAGAGTTACAGAGACCTAAAATCTGTAACCAACTAACAAATCCTTTGTTTTCTATTACAGCTACCCTGTCATTCTTTCTTTACTGCACAGTGGTTATGTAACGACACTGATTGTTATCGGTGTCATTGTACCAGATCAATACATGTCATTCATGGTGTTATGAACACATATCAGGAAAAACCTAGCAGAGATTATTATTGTTGTCTCTAGGACTCATGATGTCATATGCAATGAACTGTATAGACTTTTTATTTTTGATGGTTTAACATTCTGTATTTTTACAAAATGTTTTGATCGAAAAGGCAGGAATTTTTTCATGGAGGTGATGACACAGATCGTGGTTCTCTGAAGTAATCTTATCTCCAAGGCAGCTCATTTTCACGATTCTATTCTACCTTCAAATAGAGCAAAAACCAAATGACAAGGAGAAGGAATCCCTCTTTACCATTCCTGGACAAAATTTTATGAAGTTCATCATAAACTCACATTTTGAGAATCCCTATAAGTTTCAGAAGGACAAAACAAATAAGGTCTTCTCATAATGGTTAACAATTTACGCAAAGTGTCATCCCTCTACTGTGACTGATTATAAAGTTATGAAGCATGGATGCACAGACAGACAGAGCACTGACTACAGGACATCCACTACCTAATACCATTTCCAGTGTGTACCTTCATCACATACACAACTTTGGGATTCATTGTCCTATGAACTCCTGTTTTATTTACAATATTGGGCCCTACTGACAGGTGATAAGTGGAATATAATCACCCACAGGTCCCCATAATCATCTTGTGACACTATAACTTACACCTACATGCATGCATTGTGACATCATCAGAGAAAGAGAGACAGGGAATGAAAATATTGTCATTTAAATTTCACATCATTATTACAAACATCAACAAATGTTAAACACGCTTTGATTATATGATAAACATAAACTTACGTGAGTTTCTACATAATAAACAAGAATTCTGAAACTTGTTAAAATATATACTGTAAATCACTTAGATTTCGTGAATATTTTATTTCGTGAACTTACTTTTTCAGACATATTCGTGGATACATGATTTCCCAAATGCTGATCTATAAATGACCGAAAATTTGCAATGATGATCTACGAGAGATCTGGACTATTCAAAACTCCTATATTGGTAGCCAAATCAACATGAATGCCATCAAGGTTATTTTCATACAATCGTGAAGGATTTGAATTTGTGATTAACTCTCTTTACCTGTTAATGTGGAAGTAAATCCCATGCGAAATATATAAGTAATTTACAGTATGTTAATCTCTCTAGCAAGCTAGCTAGTATGGATTTAAGTACAAGTTCCATTCAGTGACATTAATTAAGGTGTTGAGATAGTGGTAAGTCTTAGTTTGGTCAGTTGATGGGATAGATCTTATTTGAATTATAGAATTTCAATTGCTACACTAATAATCAATAGTATTGTACAAATACATTTCCAAATTCTAAGAATTAAAAAAAAAAGAATTCTGAATTGACAAACAATGCAATCATTCTATATATAGGTCTATGTAGTATCACTAAACCATCACAAAAAGACAAGATCTGGTCGTCAACTATTCTAATGTTACAAATAAACTTACACCTCAGCAGACAAGTGAAGCAACTAATGGATATAAGAGAAGGCAGGAAAGATATATTTCTCACTTGGACATTTAGGTACTCAGGTATTTCAGGTATTTAAGATATTTCAGGTATTTATTTTATGTATTTAAGATATTTCAGGTATTTAAGATATTTCAGGTATTAAGATATTTCAGGTATTTAAGATATTTCAGATATTTCAGGTATTAATTTAAGATATTTCAGGTATTTCAGGTATTTAAGATATTTCAGGTATTTAAGATATTTCAGGTATTTAAGATATTTCAGGTATTTAAGGTATTTCAGGTATTTCAGGTATTTAAGATATTTCAGGTATTTAAGATATTTCAGGTATTTCAGGTATTTAAGATAGGTATTTCACCTTTTTCTAGTATTACAGATATTCTTGATATTTCAGCTATTTAGTAACATCAAAAGATGTTTACTTATACTACCACTCTGTATCAAAACAAATATGTTTTTTTAGAAAATGGACATCCAGGTTTCACCACTGATATTTAACACCGTGACTCAAGACATACCATTGTAAATATAATTATATATAATACAATGATAATAGTTTATGTGACCATAACAAAAAGAAAATGCAAAGAAGTTCATAAATATATTACAAGAATTTCGTGGGAGGGGAGGGGGGGAGGAGGAGGAAGAAGAAAGACAGTATGACCTTGTCTATGGCAGAGGCTATTTTCCTGAATTTCACACACTGATATGGGAGTGTAAGCATTAAAATCAAACCAGTACTTAGTACAAAAGTTATAAAAGTCAAACCACGCAAAAATGCATTTATTAAAGTTATAGAAATTCTTACTGTTTTCACAGTTATCACACTCATCAAAACTGCAATGTTCAATCTCACCATTCAAATCTGTCAAAAAAATGGTCATCAAATCAATCAATTTAGCAGAAAAAAAAGTTGAAAAAAAGCAAATTTCATTTTGGCTTTGCAACAAAGGAAAGCAGAATGATTTTGATATGGCAACTAAAGTAAGCAAATTTGAATTTGACTAGGCAACAAAAGAAAGCAAAATAAACTTTTGTCATATGTCATTGCAAAAATTATAATAGAAATGTGATATTTTTAGAAAAATTTAATAATGATGATGAAAATGATGAAATAATGGAGGTTTAATGATGAGAGGGACATTGGTGTTATTTTTGTATTCCATAGTTTAGTAATGAACAAAGAAAATACACATTGAAGTCGTGAGATGATGGAAAACAATGAATTATTAGAAAAGTAAGTTTAGATGCATGAAAGAAATAGGTTACCTCCCTGACATATATAATTAGAACAGCAAGTGTTATTAAATGAAATGAATGGGTTACCTCCCTTAAATATATGATTAGAACAGCAAATTTTGATAAATGAAACAAATGGGTTACCTCCCTTACATATATGATTAGAACAGCAAGTTTTTATAAAGGAAATGAATGGGTTACCTCCCTTACATATATGATGAGAACAGCAAGTTTTTATAAAGGAAATGAATGGGTTACCTCCCTTACATATATGATTATAACAGCAAGTTTTGATAAATGAAACAAATGGTTTCATATATGATTAGAAAAGCAAGTTTTGATAAATGAAATGAATGGTTACCTCCCTTACATATATGATGATAACAGCCAGTTTTGATAAATGAAATGAATGGGTTACCTCCCTTACATTTATAATTAGAACAGCAAGTTTTGATAAATGAAATCAATGGGTTAGCTCTCTTACATATATATGATTAGAAAAACATGTTTTAATGAATGAAACTTCCCTTAGATATATCTCTAAGCAAATACCATCATTTAATGTACATATCAATGCAGTTACCTTATATATATGTAGTTTTTTTTTCAATTAAAACAATTATTATATATGAACCATAATTGTTGAACAAACAGTAAGATATCAATTTATCTTTGTTATTGGAATAAGGACTGCTTTCTTTACCTCTGACTGAACTATATCTTGCATTACAAATAGTTCAGTCTTAACTTTCAGCTAATATCATTTACTGGATAAATTATCCCCCCTTCACTCTGGCTCGATAACCTACCCCAGTATCAATCCAGCATGAATAATCAATAAGCTCCATTAGAGATGAACAGATTAAATTTACTCATTTTTTCCTGAGTATTCAAACCCATTGCAGTATACAAACCTGTCAGATTAAGAGTTTAATCAACAGCATTAACAATATCAGACAATATACAGACAGACATGCAATGTATTTGATGGAGGTTTACTTTAACTATCACTCAGTTTTACATAAAAATGTTTCGACAGACACAAGACATTTTAAATATTTTATTGACTTACAGGTAAGATGATCATGCAGCATGGCAATAAGTTAGGAAAACCATTGATGGCAATTGTTTTAATTGATGTTTCTAAAGGGAATAAACATATGATAAATACAACTGAATTTTTAGGAATTCTGTGATATAACTTTGAGTATATGTTCCACGCCATGATATACAATATAATTTCCCGGTTTGAATGAGACCAATAGATGTAAACAGTCTATAAGCCTCTGTTGTGTTTGCAGAGGACCAGATATACAAGATAACATTTTGAGAGCCAGGATTAAAAAATTAATCCTACAATAGATATTTGTTAACCTTGGGTATATCACATGAATGAGGGAGACGTACTTCTTTGTTAACCCTCAGCATGAAATTATTGTGAGAGACATAGCCCTTGGTGTGTCATGTTTAAGAGAGGTCAAATCAAAAGAAGTTTTCAAAAGTCTGTTGAAATGTATTGAATGTACCGGTAAGTCATACAATTTTCATTTGGAATCCTCTAAACAACTTTATGATATTCATTTCACCTTGATCTTTCATGTTGTGTTTAATAAAGTTAAATTTTAATATTTTGCTGATTTTGACCTAAACCTTCTTTAGAAAATAAATAACCACATCAGTAACGATTTCTACTTTAAATTTTATGTTGTTCTTACAAGATGTGCAATTTTAATTTAATTTTTGAACCATTGTTATTGCTAATTAAAATCAATCAGCAAAGCAAAAATACCCAATTAAACAAAAAGATTGTGCAGCCTAGTGATATACAATGAGTATGATTGATGATAATGACCAACAACAGCTGTAGAAGGAAAAACCTCAAGGACACAAACCTTCCTCACTCGACGATTTCTTTGGATGACCATAGGGTTGGTACTTGAGTTGAACTTTTCTATTGATTCCAGAAAAATGTCCATACCTTCAAAACACAAATAAATTTTCAATGTTTGTTAATATGACAGTTAAGATATTGGGGCTTAATTAACAGGCATTTGTAGTGGGTTAGGAATGAGAATGTTCTCTTTGATAAATAATAGAAATTATTTCTACATTTTGTTTGATAAACTGTTGATGCTGGAATGTTAATAGGACATTTATTATCACAGACATGGAGCGTTACAATTAAAACCAGAACAAAAATAAAAATTGGCACAATAAGTATTAGAGGTAATTACCTATCAAACTGATGTTTCTACATCAGGATGATTGTCATTTTAGGTTGACAGAAGAATTCCTTTGAAAAAGTAATGGTGACCTTGACCTTGACCACAGATATTTGAATTTGTCCATGATATAATAGTCCTTTTTAAGTATGTAAAGTTTGATACAAAATAAGGAAGGATACCAAAAGAGTGCTGACAGGGTGTTGTATAAATATGTAAGGGAACATCCATACATCTGATCTTAGTAAATAGAAAAGTCCTAACAGAAAGAGTCATCATCCTGGGTGTCCTCAAACATATATCAGATCAGTATGAAATCAAAGATGGCTACGTAATGGTATTCAATAGAGCCCCATAAAGGGAGGTTCAACCTTAACCATATAAATATTTACACCACAGTTCTCATGATGGCTAACCTAGCTAACTTAAATATGTAAACCAATGATAAAACCACAGAATCCTGATGTTGATGTTCAAGCTTCAACCTCATTGATTCTACAACAATAGTTAACTGTTTCACTCACTATTTATTGCTCTGTCTAATCTCATTTACATATTTTCTGAATAAAGTGATAAAATTGCAAGCAACCTTTTCACAATCTATAGAAATCTGCTGGGCATTAAGGAAATATTTTCCAGAAGGATATCATGCAATTTTATCAACTGAAATTAAATAAAAATTTAATTCTAATTCAATATATATTTAATCATATAAAGTGACATTTTTTTACTGATATTTTTCATGATAGCATATATATATTTGTATATATCAAGTGTATCCCCTTTTGACCAATGACAGATGGTTTTCACAGTTAAATGTATATATAGAGATTAGTCAATAATTATGAAATAAAGTTAACTGCTGATCAACAGTCTGGATATGTAAATTTTTGTATCATATATGATAACGCATATTAAAATGGCGTCCTGCCTGAATTGGTTGTTACAATGTTGGCCATGAATGTCACTTATTTTGTAAATCTTAAATGACTTTGAGTTCTCATATAACATCTGTCACACCCATAATAAAACCTGATGCTGAAAATCCACGTTTTACTTTATGTGCCACCACTGTCACTGTCATGTGTTTATGTTTACAAAAATGAACTGCCTCATTTTCAACACTATTACGTAACATTACTAGCACTTAATTAGAGAGGGGTTTCCTGAGCCAAAGAAGTGGTCAAGCTGGACATTGGAATTCAACTGTGAATATTGGGATAGAGTAAATGGAAGTATATAAAACACGAACAATCAAAACAAAATTAATGTTTTTACCATAACGTCTCGTTAAATTCATATTACAAACAACATTTTGGGCAATACTGATAATGTAGCAGGCCATAGAGTGTAATGGAGTAAATCCAGTAATTGGAACACCCGAAATATATAGTGTGAAAAACTTCACTTCATACAATGGAGTAAATCCAGTAATTGGAACAGCCTAAACATGGAAAAGCTAAAAAGAGAACTGTTACATCCAAATACCTAATGATCATTATATTAGCCATTTAGTATTGATGAAGTGAAATGGCTGAGGACAAAATCAATATAGTTGTGTCATTATATTAGCGGTCTAGTACTGTTGAAGTGGAATGGCAGTAAACAAAAGTCAATTTAAATGTACCAGCTCATTTCCTTTTTCAGTAACTCTTGCCCGAGCAAAACCTAAAACAGCATCCTCACAGAAAAATATTGTTGCATAGAAACAGTATCTAAAACATTTCAGTTTGGAGCTCTGATTATATTCTATAATACATGGATGTATCTGAATCCATTTCTAAAGATCAAATAAAATTCACTTTGTGATAAATGTTACATCAGAGTTTGATATTAGTGTTTAGGAGTAAAAGTCTAATCATTAGTTTACTAGGGAGGTTAATCTAAAATCTCTAACATTATTTTGTAAAGTAAAAAAAGGCAGCAAATTAAAAAAGAATATGTATTTAACAGAATTGCATCTGCACATGCAAATGGGTTGACAGCTGAATTATCTCCCTTTATGTCTTATACAAATTAATTTTTAAAACTGTACTTTTGAAATAATTGTTTTCACAATATTACAACATAGACATAATTCAATGAAACAGGTTTTGCTACATGGCCTGCTCATTGTGCTAAAACCATATGACAAAGGGAGGTAATCTGTCACTTTGAGGATTATGGATTGCAAAAATAATTCAAGCAAACATTTCAATAGTCTACCATATTTGTATAGAGCTGCTACTTCTTGTATTTGTTTTTTTTAGTTTTTTCTTTTTTGTTCTTTTTTCTTTTTTTTTTGTTGTTGTCATCTTGTTTTTTCATTTTGTTTGTTTTTAGTTTGCTTTTCATTTTAATGATACATTCACAACAATTGAGTGGTCGGGTGACGCAGTGTTAACACACTCGCCTCTTTTACCTAGGTGTCAGGGGCTTGGGTTTTTCCCCGGTTCTCCGGTTTCCTCTCACATTAAGACCCCTCTGCACCCTTACATCTGGGCCAACAATAGTGATTAAGAGTAAAAAATGTGAAGTTGCTGTCCAGATGTAATTAATTCCTACTATTTTTATTTATCAGTTTTAACACACCTACTTGTAATTGTCTCCTTATGTACTATTCAGAAATATCATTACTTATTTGATTTTAGTTTATCATTAATGCATTTAATAAAAAATTAAATGAAATTTTCTGAAATTAAGAAATGAATTTGAACGGAGAATGCATGCAAAGGGACAAACGGTTAACAGTATTAAAAGGAAGCAAGAGTTTCACACAACTGGCCCACAAGAAGCCATTTTATTTGCAAAGGGAATATCACACTTTCAACCAGCTGAATGGCAAAAATATTTTACTTTATTTGCAAAGGGAAGATACTTATATTCTTTTGCAAAGGAAAGATTATTCAATTACTTTTTTCGATAGGGTAGCGAAGTTCTGAAAGTTGCAAAGGAAAGATAACTCACTATGCCATGGGGAGATAACTCATACATTTAACCAGAAAACCACAAAACATAGCAGATGATAACAAACTTTTCTGATGAACACAAGAAAGTGCTGGCCTGTTTTTCGAAATTGTGATGAAAATCCCACCTTCAAAATTGAAACAAAAATAGGGCTTATAATTAAAACGAAGTCAAATCAGTGATTTGAACTACTGTGAAATTTGTGATTTTACTGGAAATTGTATTTTTTAAAAAAAAAAGCCTTTTAAAGTTTTGTACATTTTCTTGTTCATCATAATAAATACTAGATGTACATCAATTTTATTTGTTTGAATTTTCTTTTAAATAATATATACATAAACTAAGAGCTTTAGGAATTTTATTTATCATCCAATCAAGTCAGAGATATCCATGTTGACCTGGAATTTCAAATTGAAAATTTGAACAAAATAAAAAAAAAAACATCTGTTAATAAAAAGAGATAAAAAATTATATGCATATTTGTTCATTGATGAAAAAAATAAATACTCATGTTATATCTGATATTTTCCACAGCTATAAAAGTACAATCCCGGACTCTCCTTATGATAAAAAGTAAAAAATCATAAATTTTTTATGATAAACTACAGAACTACACATTTTGAAAAAAAAAAAAAAAAAAAAACATCTGCTGCTCTAAAACAAAAGATTGTTTCCCCTTTTTCTTGTTCAAAGATTTTAAAGATTAAAAAGAACTCCACTCCAAACTTCCTCTGCAGAGACAGGTTTTAAAATGGTCAGACATTTTATATATAGATGAAGCAAGACTCAACAAAACATAGTTCAATCCAGTTCTGAGAAAACATTATTACTGGGTGTTAATGGGAAAACCAGATATAAGGGTTGTCAGGGTTGTTTTTAGGTCATTTTTTAAAACTAAGATTTGTAATTTTAAAGCCAAAGTTAAAAATATAATGTTTTATTTCAATAGTGATCTTAATTTTATGATAATTACCCTTTACATACACTTTTTCTTGCAAAACAAATGTGAAAAATGTTTCAAACAAAGAAGTCTTATCCATTACATTAAATAGTTAAGTATTACACACCTGGGTAACAAATCATATATTTAAAGTTAGCCAAGTGTTCAAACAAAAGAAAGATACTTTTTCTAAAATGAAAAATTTGATTCTTCATAGAATGTTTTTCAAATCTTACATTTCTAAGACTAGTTTCAGCTGCTGTAGCTTAGCTTTCTTCTCTGCTATTTCTGGATCTGATGATGATTGTTGCTCTGACAATAAAAATCGGGCGATGTCTAGAACCTCCTGGAGTTGTTTTGGTTTCTTAAGTTTTAAATGTCCATTCCGATAGCCATCATATTTCTTGAAGAGATCAAAGAATCTGTGAAAAAAGCGAAGAATGTTGCATAAGATACATGGGAATACTATACTCAACACAAAATCTGATGAATACAGATTGACAATATATGCACAATAAACTTGTGAAAATTGACATGTTCAAATAAAATTTTGTGTCTCTATGTTAATGTAAATACATGTAGTGTACAAATATGAGGTTAACAAGTGAGAGTGTTTAAGTATTAATGTTATCGTCCACTGTAAACAAAATACTTAAAATTACAACTATCTTATCCTGTGAGGCATTTATCAAAGAAACCTAGAGAGACTGATACATTCTCTCAGGATTCAATACTAACTTTTTGTGTTTGACCTCCATTTTCATTTTCTGTTTTGGTGTACGGTCACCATGTCTGATCACTGCTACAACTGTCCTCAGCTCCATCCTACAACACAAAGTATGGATGAAATAATGAAATTTCTGTTGTTAATAAAGTAATTACTGACAATGTCAAAAAATAATACAAGTGGTTTCTGTAAGATGCCTGAAAATAACTGATTACTGTAAATCACTTAGATTTCACTAAACCTTATTTCACAAATTCACCTCTACCAACATGTTCACAAATACATGATTTCATGAAAGCTGATCTAGAAATGACTTTGAATTTGCCAGCTTTTAGAGACATGAACTCCGGAAAGCTCATATATTGACAACTGATAGCCTCATATTGACCATTGGTGATTGACCTCTGACCTATAGCTGTATATTTAAATGACTTCTTTGTAAAGTTCTACTATCAGCAATATGGGGATGTCATTTTAAAGTACAGAGTTCTAAAGATGCAGGGTATAGTGTGTGACAATGACAGAATAACAAGGATGTCAGCATGACTTATTATTTTCCTACAAACATTTGAAACAAGAGATTTTAATTCAAGATTGTCTCTCCACATATATTAACACAAAAATAAATCTCTAGCAGAATATGTTATTTACAATAGATAAATACTGTGTTTACGTATGCATATTCTTAAAAGAGTTATACAGAAAGGTGGTCATAAATTCTTGGCAAAATGGCCAAAATTCGGGTCAGCACCAAACAGGAGATTCAGCTACGAAAAACTTATTTTTGTGGAATCTAAGAAGCTGTGACTGATTTTGTGATTTATACAATGAACTTAAACTGAGTCTGATGTGGTAGGGTCTACTTACATGGGGCCAGATGTGGGGATAACTTACATTGAATCTGATGTGGTAGGGTCTACTTACATGGGGCCAGATGTGGGGATAACTTACATTGAATCTGATGTGGTAGGGTCTACTTACATGGGGCCAGATGTGGGGATAACTTACATTGAATTTGATGTGATAGGGTCTACTTACATGGGGCCAGATGTGGGGATAACTTACATTGAATCTGATGTGGTAGGGTCTACTTACATGGGGCCAGATGTGGGGATAACTTACATTGAATTTGATGTGATAGGGTCTACTTACATGGGGCCAGATGTGGGGATAACTTACATTGAATCTGATGTGGTAGGGTCTAATTACATGGGGCCAGATGTGGGGATAACTTACACTGAGTCTGATGTGGTAGGGTTGAACTATTAAAAGTTAATATTTAAGTTAAATTAAACTATCCAAAACTGTATTCTACTAGACATAAATCAGACGTGTTGTCCAGAAGCCAGAACATACTTTCTGTTAATCTATCACACATGCCCGGTATACATTCGCTCCCGTGTTAATTACATAAGCTTACCATTACCGTCTAGCAGGACAGGTCAGCAAAACCTTAGCTTGTCGTAAACCACCTAATCTACCACTATGTGTGTGCATTAGACCATGTAAATAACTCATGTATTATCCACTTGTTGTTAGCAAATATGTAATATTAGATTATCAATGTCTACGAATTTTAGTATAAATACGACTAGGTTTCTAGCCAGTCGTCGAATCGGTTCCTGAAGGCATGTGAGTGTACCACCTCTCCATGTCTACACACAATAAATTTACATCAACCTAAACAGCGTTTGGATTTCTTCATCTCCACTCAACACTGCACCACTCTTCATTCTCAACAAAGAAGTTCACCCACTACACTTTATCGGACACCACATCGCTTTATTGGCGCTGTGACTTCACTTATTGGCACCGTGACACCACTTCACTTTATTGGTCCCGTGACTTCACTTTAGGGTCTACTTACATGGGGCCAGATGTGGGGATAACTTACACCGAGTCTGATGTGGTAGGGTCTACTTACATGGAGCCAGATGTGGTTGGGACAACAGGAATATCCTCTGGGGCTGCTCCTAAAACCCAAGGTATGTGTCTTTGTGGGGCAAGTGCACGCATTATCATTGTCCTGAAAACAGTTATATGATTATTTAAAAGTCCAAATATCAACCTTCTACTGTGCAAAGTGCTTGCATCTTATCCAAATATCAACCTTCTACTGTGCAAAGTGCTTGCATCTTATCCAAATATCAACCTTCTACTGTGCAAAGTGCTTGCATCTTATAAGAAATGAACTTAAGTATTGAAATATAAAATACAAACTCACGCAAAGTAATTTTCATTTGTATGACAAACAAATTAAGCATTTGAAAGATGGCAGAATGATATGTAATTACATAATTCTGAATATGTATGAATTTTCGTTGTGTGAGCTGTTACCTATGTCTGTTTGTCTAGTCCCATCCCATTCAGAATCAATGCCATATCTTCAGAAATATGAAAATGTTATAGTGTGTACCTTAATGAATTAGAAAATATCTGAAAGAAATTAATGACCCTGTTCTCATACATATCAGTATCCATGTTAGATTAATTTGCATAAGTTTTCAAATGTGAACTTTGACCTTTTAACCTTGACTGACGACAAGGTGTAGATGATAAGGAGTAGAATTTGATATCAAGATATTATGGGGTAAATATGAAGCAAATCTGTGTGAAGGTTCTGAAAATATCACATTGATTTTGAATAAGACAGGACAGACAGACAGACATGGGTAAAGTTATATGCCCTACCCCCCATAAAATGATGTAGGCATGAAAAGATTTCAATATTGAGCTACAAAAACTTACCCTAGTATTTTTGCGCAGTCATCATAATACTTGATTGAGTTTTTCACAAAGCTAAACCCGTTGACATCACAGACATAAGATTTGCCGCTGGCTCTGAGAAGATCGAAGCCACACACGTTTTGCTGTAAACAGAAAACCATAATCAGTCATAACAGATTGATCAATGAATTGGGACATCAGTGACCCCGGCTGACCTCTATCATTAACATGCTCTGTATTTCTAGATACTGTACCTTATCAGAAGATTTTTTTAATCAGTTTTTTCCTTTCTGGTTTAGTATAGGGCATTTTTACTTCAATAAGGGAAGAAAATTGGTAAAAAAGGGAAAGAAATTTTCAGGAGTAAACTACAATCTTTGGGAACTTGGGATAATGTAAAATAATTCCAATGGGGAATGGGACCCTTTATAAATGAAGGCCCTAAAACATGCTCAAGAAACGCTCTTTAAATCAACCTGTTAACTATGAATTTTCACTTATACATACTAAAGACAATTTTTTTATTTATCTTGCAACAAACTCAAGGGACAAACACATACCTCGTTAATGTCATGAAGTGGGCATTCTACATTTATATGAAAAAGTACTGGCTAATAAGACAAAACAAAAATAATTGTCAGTTTCTGGTAGCTCTCAATTATCTTATGTTTTGTTCCAATACTAAACTTTCTAAGATGATTTCCAAAAAAAAGATTGTTCAAGTCAAGATCTTTCTTCTATATAAGCCACATTAAATTATTTGTCAAAATAAGAAATTTTTGCCAAACTTCGTACCCTATTTTTTTCCAACATATTTTTTTTTTTTACCTACTAAAAACTAATACATATAACCTTATTACAAAGACATGGACTTGTTGTGGCATTCCATGTAGGATCCATCTCAGAATTTCTAATTATACTTATTAAGAAACAATGCAGTTCAAAGCAGAGATTTCATATAAATATTTTACCATGGCTGGTCCAACGGAACATTCAAAAAGTGAAATTGAGGGCGATATTATTTATCTATACCTTGAATGCCTGACATACTTTTCTAGTCTGTAAATATTTCAATATTTACCATGAATGCCTGACACACTTTTCTAGTCAGTAAAATATTTCAATATTTACCTTGAATGCCTGACACACTTTTCTAGTCTGTAAATATTTCAATATTTACCTTGAATGCCTGACATACTTTTCTAGTCTGTAAATATTTCAATATTTACCTTGAATGCCTGACACACTTTTCTAGTCAGTAAAATATTTCAATACTTACCTTGAATGCCTGACACACTTTTCTAGTCAGTAAAATATTTCAATACTTACCTTGAATGCCTGACACATTTTCTAGTCAGTAAAATATTGTAATCTTTACCTTGAATGCCTGACACACTTTTCTAGTCAGTAAAATATTGTAATATTTACCTTGAATGCCTGACACATTTTCTAGTCAGTAAAATATTGTAATACTTACCTTGAATGCCTGACACACTTTTCTAGTCAGTAAAATATTGTAATATTTACCTTGAATGCCTGACACACTTTTCTAGTCAGTAAAATATTTCAATACTTACCTTGAATGCCTGACACACTTTTCTAGTCAGTAAAATATTTCAATACTTACCTTGAATGCCTGACACACTTTTCTAGTCAGTAAAATATTTCAATACTTACCTTGAATGCCTGACACTATTTTCTAGTCAGTAAAATATTGTAATCTTTACCTTGAATGCCTGACACACTTTTCTAGTCAGTAAAATATTGTAATATTTACCTTGAATGCCTGACACATTTTCTAGTCAGTAAAATATTGTAATATTTACCTTGAATGCCTGACACATTTTCATATTGTAATATTTACCTTGAATGCCTGACACACTTTTCTAGTCAGTAAAATATTGTAATCTTTACCTTGAATGCCTGACACACTTTTCTAGTCAGTAAAATATTGTAATATTTACCTTGAATGCCTGACACACTTTTCTAGTCAGTAAAATATTGTAATCTATACCTTGAATGCCTGACACACTTTTCTAGTCAGTAAAATATTGTAATATTTACCTTGAATGCCTGACACACTTTTCTAGTCAGTAAAATATTGTAATACTTACCGTGAATGCCTGACACACTTTTCTAGTCAGTAAAATATTGTAATACTTACCGTGAATGCCTGACACACTTTTCTAGTCAGTAAAATATTGTAATCTATACCTTGAATGCCTGACACACTTTTCTAGTCAGTAAAATATTGTAATATTTACCTTGAATGCCTGACACACTTTTCTAGTCAGTAAAATATTGTAATACTTACCGTGAATGCCTGACACACTTTTCTAGTCAGTAAAATATTGTAATACTTACCGTGAATGCCTGACACACTTTTCTAGTCAGTAAAATATTGTAATATTTACCTTGAATGCCTGACACATTTTCTAGTCAGTAAAATATTGTAATCTATACCTTGAATGCCTGACACACTTTTCTAGTCAGTAAAATATTGTAATATTTACCGTGAATGCCTGACACACTTTTCTAGTCAGTAAAATATTGTAATACTTACCGTGAATGCCTGACACACTTTTCTAGTCAGTAAAATATTGTAATATTTACCTTGAATGCCTGACACATTTTCTAGTCAGTAAAATATTGTAATCTATACCTTGAATGCCTGACACACTTTTCTAGTCAGTAAAATATTGTAATATTTACCTTGAATGCCTGACACATTTTCTAGTCAGTAAAATATTGTAATATTTACCGTGAATGCCTGACACACTTTTCTAGTCAGTAAAATATTGTAATACTTACCGTGAATGCCTGACACACTTTTCTAGTCAGTAAAATATTTCAATATTTACCTTGAATGCCTGACACACTTTTCTAGTCAGTAAAATATTGTAATATTTACCTTGAATGCCTGACACACTTTTCTAGTCAGTAAAATATTGTAATATTTACCTTGAATGCCTGACACACTTTTCTAGTCAGTAAAATATTGTAATCTTTACCTTGAATGCCTGACACACTTTTCTAGTCAGTAAAATATTGTAATCTATACCTTGAATGCCTGACACACTTTTCTAGTCAGTAAAATATTGTAATATTTACCTTGAATGCCTGACACACTTTTCTAGTCAGTAAAATATTGTAATATTTACCTTGAATGCCTGACACACTTTTCTAGTCAGTAAAATATTGTAATCTATACCTTGAATGCCTGACACACTTTTCTAGTCTGTAAAATATTGTAATATTTACCTTGAATGCCTGACACATTTTCTAGTCAGTAAAATATTGTAATATTTACCGTGAATGCCTGACACACTTTTCTAGTCAGTAAAATATTGTAATACTTACCGTGAATGCCTGACACACTTTTCTAGTCAGTAAAATATTTCAATATTTACCTTGAATGCCTGACACACTTTTCTAGTCAGTAAAATATTGTAATATTTACCTTGAATGCCTGACACACTTTTCTAGTCAGTAAAATATTGTAATATTTACCTTGAATGCCTGACACACTTTTCTAGTCAGTAAAATATTGTAATCTTTACCTTGAATGCCTGACACACTTTTCTAGTCAGTAAAATATTGTAATCTATACCTTGAATGCCTGACACACTTTTCTAGTCAGTAAAATATTGTAATATTTACCTTGAATGCCTGACACACTTTTCTAGTCAGTAAAATATTGTAATATTTACCTTGAATGCCTGACACACTTTTCTAGTCAGTAAAATATTGTAATCTATACCTTGAATGCCTGACACACTTTTCTAGTCTGTAAAATATTGTAATATTTACCTTGAATGCCTGACACATTTTCTAGTCAGTAAAATATTGTAATATTTACCTTGAATGCCTGACACACTTTTCTAGTCTGTAAAATATTGTAATATTTACCTTGAATGCCTGACACATTTTCTAGTCAGTAAAATATTGTAATATTTACCTTGAATGCCTGACACACTTTTCTAGTCTGTATAATATTGTAATATTTACCTTGAATGCCTGACACATTTTCTAGTCTGTAAAATATTGTAATCTTTACCTTGAATGCCTGACACACTTTCCTGGCCAGGAGTTTTTCTTTAGCACTCAGAATCACTGGAAATCTCACTTCTTTGCCATCCTTATCTCGCTCTACTTTCCCGTCTAAAGCTGGTGACTTTCTCGCCTCAGCATGTGCATAATCAGGACCAACTGTATATACCTGTTAAGAATGTACATGTAACTAATGTAAACCTGCAATTATTATACACCTGTAATTAAAACTCCTGTAATTAATATACACTTCAAAACTCATGTAATTAACAAACACTTGTAATCAAAACACCTGCAGATTAATATTGACATTCAGAATGGCTGAGTAAATATGTCCAATAGAATTTCAACATACATTTTTCATAAGCCTTCAAAAGCCTCCCATATGACAACCAACCAGAAGCCTTCAAAACCTCAAATCAGCCAATCAGAAAGCTTTTAAAAAAATATTTAAATTCAATTTTTTTTGTATACCTGTTCCATTGTTCAACTGTTCAGCATATCTATGTTTATTTATTGAGTTTTAATGATAGACGACATTTATGATAAGATTGGAGCACTTTTTCCTTATAAAAAGTACATGACCTAAGGACTCCAAACTAAATCATTTTCCCATCTGTTGTTTCTATGCAATATATCAGTCTTTGGTATTGATGTTTTAGTGGAATAGCCCTAAATAAAACCTGGAGTCTTTGGTATGGATGTTTCAATGGAATAGCCCTAAACAAAACCTGGAGTCTTTGGTATTGATAATTCACTGGGATAGCCCTGACATAAGCTAACAACAACCTTCACATCTGTTCCATCTGTAGGCATGAAGTCCTCATAGATGTAGGAGCCGGTCTGTCGCACACGATTTACTTGGTAATAGGCACTGCTGCGGGGTCCAACCTACATCAGGGAAATTACAATTATTGTGAAATAAGTCATAAAATTGACTGTAATACAATGACAATGATATATTAACTGTGACAATAAAAAACAAGAGTATCAGTGAAACCGATGAAAGCTCCCCAAAAACAACTATATATGCCAAAGGGAGTTATGGTTCTTGTATAAAGCACTTCTTCTTATCCAGATCTATATACCTATATAGTTTCATACTGATACCTCATATAGTTTTTGTGATCTCCTCCAGACAAAATTATGACAGATGGATGGACAAATGAACCAAGAAATGGATGGACGGAAGGACAGAGCAACAACTATATGATATCCCTTTTCTGCCCTTGAAATACAACCCTGGGAAGCGCATACATATCTGTAATTAACAGCAGCTTATGTAAATTCTAAATTTCCCCTCACCTTCCTAAACAGTCGCTGACTTCCTCCACCAGCTGCCACAGGAAAGTAGATATATACATTGTGGTCCTCAGCAGACACAGGCTTCTCCACGAACGGTTTGTGAAACACAACACCATTCACCTCTATACAGTCCTCTGCATCGGTGTACTGACCTGGACACAACAAAGACAATACTAGCATATCTAATTGACATTAAACACATTACACCTGGTAAAATACTCAAATTTATTATCTCTATGAAAAGTGAACCAATTCTTTATTGCTTCTGTATACAGATGTGACCAGTTTGACCGAGACTGTTTGTTTATGAAATAAGGACTGACCTTCTGATCTACAAACCTGTATGAGTCAGTGGGTGATCTAATACCTTTTCCCATCAATTCATGGAATGATCTACCAGGTACTTTATTTTCTGAGTTTTAAGATACACAGATATATAGGCCACAGAGCCATTTTCTACCCTGTCACATAGGTCAAATTCAGTTACAACACCATGTTCATACTTACAAGTTCATCCAGATTAATGCCCGCCATGTTACATTAACTGAAGTGTGGATGAATCTGCTTGTCTGCACAAAGTAACAATCCCCTGGTAAAATCTATCTGTGATCAATGAATAAGACTTACATTTGGCTGTTCCATTTCCCTCCCTGTTTAGTATGGCATATCTAGGATGAATGATACCTTCTGCTTCCAACTTTTCATAGACCAATCTCCTGTAGAACAAGAAATAAAACACTGTTCATAGACCAATCTCCTGTAGAACAAGAAATAAAACACTGTTCATAGACCAATCTCCTGTAGAACAAGAAATAAAACACTGTTCATAGACCAATCTCCTGTAGAACAAGAAATAAAACACTTCATAGACCAATCTCCTGTAGAACAAGAAATAAAACACTGTTCATAGACCAATCTCCTGTAGAACAAGAAATAAAACACTTCATAGACCAATCTCCTGTAGAACAAGAAATAAAACACTGTTCATAGACCAATCTCCTGTAGAACAAGAAATAAAACACTTCATAGACCAATCTCCTGTAGAACAAGAAATAAAACACTGTTCATAGACCAATCTCCTGTAGAACAAGAAATAAAACACTTCATAGACCAATCTCCTGTAGAACAAGAAATAAAACACTTCATAGACCAATCTCCTGTAGAACAAGAAATAAAACACTGTTCATAGACCAATCTCCTGTAGAACAAGAAATAAAACACTTCATAGACCAATCTCCTGTAGAACAAGAAATAAAACACTGTTCATAGACCAATCTCCTGTAGAACAAGAAATAAAACACTTCATAGACCAATCTCCTGTAGAACAAGAAATAAAACACTGTTCATAGACCAATCTCCTGTAGAACAAGAAATAAAACACTGTTCATAGACCAATCTCCTGTAGAACAAGAAATAAAACACTTCATAGACCAATCTCCTGTAGAACAAGAAATAAAACACTTCATAGACCAATCTCCTGTAGAACAAGAAATAAAACACTGTTCATAGACCAATCTCCTGTAGAACAAGAAATAAAACACTGTTCATAGACCAATCTCCTGTAGAACAAGAAATAAAACACTTCATAGACCAATCTCCTGTAGAACAAGAAATAAAACACTGTTCATAGACCAATCTCCTGTAGAACAAGAAATAAAACACTGTTCATAGACCAATCTCCTGTAGAACAAGAAATAAAACACTGTTCATAGACCAATCTCCTGTAGAACAAGAAATAAAACACTTCATAGACCAATCTCCTGTAGAACAAGAAATAAAACACTGTTCATAGACCAATCTCCTGTAGAACAAGAAATAAAACACTGTTCATAGACCAATCTCCTGTAGAACAAGAAATAAAACACTTCATAGACCAATCTCCTGTAGAACAAGAAATAAAACACTGTTCATAGACCAATCTCCTGTAGAACAAGAAATAAAACACTGTTCATAGACCAATCTCCTGTAGAACAAGAAATAAAACACTGTTCATAGACCAATCTCCTGTAGAACAAGAAATAAAACACTGTTCATAGACCAATCTCCTGTAGAACAAGAAATAAAACACTTCATAGACCAATCTCCTGTAGAACAAGAAATAAAACACTTCATAGACCAATCTCCTGTAGAACAAGAAATAAAACACTGTTCATAGACCAATCTCCTGTAGAACAAGAAATAAAACACTTCATAGACCAATCTCCTGTAGAACAAGAAATAAAACACTGTTCATAGACCAATCTCCTGTAGAACAAGAAATAAAACACTTCATAGACCAATCTCCTGTAGAACAAGAAATAAAACACTTCATAGACCAATCTCCTGTAGAACAAGAAATAAAACACTTCATAGACCAATCTCCTGTAGAACAAGAAATAAAACACTGTTCATAGACCAATCTCCTGTAGAACAAGAAATAAAACACTTCATAGACCAATCTCCTGTAGAACAAGAAATAAAACACTATATAAAACACTGTTCATAGACCAATCTCCTGTAGAACAAGAAATAAAACACTGTTCATAGACCAATCTCCTGTAGAACAAGAAATAAAACACTTCATAGACCAATCTCCTGTAGAACAAGAAATAAAACACTTCACAGACCAATCTCCTGTAGAACAAGAAATAAAACACTTCATAGACCAATCTCCTGTAGAACAAGAAATAAAACACTGTTCATAGACCAATCTCCTGTAGAACAAGAAATAAAACACTGTTCATAGACCAATCTCCTGTAGAACAAGAAATAAAACACTGTTCATAGACCAATCTCCTGTAGAACAAGAAATAAAACACTGTTCATAGACCAATCTCCTGTAGAACAAGAAATAAAACACTTCATAGACCAATCTCCTGTAGAACAAGAAATAAAACACTGTTCATAGACCAATCTCCTGTAGAACAAGAAATAAAACACTGTTCATAGACCAATCTCCTGTAGAACAAGAAATAAAACACTGTTCATAGACCAATCTCCTGTAGAACAAGAAATAAAACACTTCATAGACCAATCTCCTGTAGAACAAGAAATAAAACACTTCATAGACCAATCTCCTATAGAACAAGAAATAAAACACTGTTCATAGACCAATCTCCTGTAGAACAAGAAATAAAACACTGTTCCAGTCTCCACTGACTTACTGTATAGGTTTATTTTACAAAAGTTTTGAAATAACATCTAAACTGAAAAATGACATATAAAAAAATTTAAAAAGGCATTCCTGAATAAAAACTATTTCAGTATTTAAAATAAAGCTGAATGAAAAATTCTATTGTGGTATAAGTTAAAAACTTCATATTAATATAAAAAGCAAAGCCCCAAAGTTAATATATTACAAAACATTTGAAATCCTTAATTTGTATAAATGTAGAATATTTTTTATTGTTTGAATGACGGAATATACCTGAAAATGTCCTTTGAAGAAAAGACATTTCTCATCATCACTAAAAAATCTTCACAAAAGATATCTTAATTGGCAACACATGTATTTCTTATATACACTAAGCAAATATCCTATTTTAATAGATCATAAATGACTGCAAATTTACCCATATATTCTCAGCTCTGCTCTTTACAAATATACCATTGTCTTGTCCGACTTTCTGGTCATAAAAAACATTCTCCCTTATTTTATAACATTACCTGTCTAATAGGATCTTCTGTGCCTCCAAGTCATTCACTATGTACGGCTTGCGGAGATTCTTATACGCAATGGCCTTATCAAGGGGAAAGCCTTGGGAGAAGAAAGAGATGAGGACATCAACAACTGGCCAATCCTCAATAGGGTGATTAAGGATGACATCCTCCTCAAAAACCAGAGTCTTGATGTGTTCAAACAACTCCAGGCGTTGTAGAATCTCACGCATAGGTTTAGAGTTACACTTCTTGGCCATGGCGCACACGCCCACTGTGATGGCGGCAATATCTTCATGGCTTTCCTGGTAACAGAAAGGAGATCTGCTGTATTATCAGGTACAACAAATGGTGAGGGAAAAGTTAAAAAGGAAACAAGATCAAAATTTTTAAAAGACTGATTTCAAAATACATGCACATATAGTTAGAATAAACAAAGCGGTCATAATAAGTCATAAGCTTTCAGATAGTCTTGAATTTGGTGTATATTTCCTGTCTTAAACAAAAGTTTAAGTAATGTTATATTAAAACAGATTTTTAAAATCTTGCTTTGGGCACATGCTTCATGTAAATGCTGTCCAATAAAATATGTTTTTCTGTATTTGGTTAATTGTATGCTATACACTGAGGTTGGTCTTTGTTCTTCAGTGTATTTGAATGTGCAACATACACATAAACCATGTGAAGATGGACATGAACAACCTTGTCTTGGTGCCAGTGTGTCTCTGTAGAGAATAGACCATTTAGTTATAGTTGGGATTGCTGAACAAATACACAGCTTGTTTTAACCATTTTCAGTCTTTTATATGTAACCCTGGTAAAATACTAGTCACAATATACTGCTCAGCTAGAGAGAACTTCTCTTCAGCTCGATCGATTGAGCATCAGACTAGTAAGTCCCGGGATCAATTCCTAGCGGAGGCATTGAGATGAAAAATGACCTCTGTTACATATAATAAAACTGTAAGTGAAAGGTAAGATACTACATCGTACCCCATCTAATACTGTGGATTTACTTTAACACAAGAAGGCATATTTAATAATGCAGAAGGAAAACCTTAATTTGAAATATCTCAACATAAACTTTAAATTCAAAAAGGGAAAATTTTTACCATATAAAGCTGACTGAAAGTGGAATCATCTCCTACTACAAATATTGGGCGGTTTTCTTGGTCATCCATTCTGAGATATCCACATTCAGATTCAGCCATCATTCTAGGATTCTCTAGTTCCAGCCATCTTCACTACCGCCTGGTCCTCCCTCTACGTCTTCCCTCAACTTCTTCTCTCTCCACTACATCATCAGTTTCACCTACTATATCATTGAGTCTGTAAATTCAAATGTTTTCATCCATACACATAAAGCCTTTCCCCAATTGCAAATATGAAATATGGATTTGTAAATATAGCTGCATTATTAAATAAAATATTGTTAAAATTTCAATAACAAATTTATACTATAAACTTAATGTGAAAAGTATGTAAGGAATGTGGAAGTGTTCTGATTGACTGAAAGAGTGAACAGGTGAGGATGTGAGCATGCAAGTCATCTGTAAATACCCTGCACACCCTGGACCATTTCCAGATATGACACTCAATGCTGAACTTATAAGTAATGTTCTTTCTCTTATAGCCACATCCCTGGTAAGGGACTTTTATCCTTTTTATCACTTTTAATTTATAAGTTTTCTACTATTGTACATTTATTCTATATTTTACTGAACATATTTCATTCATTGTGAAGTTGATGTAATAATAACTGTACAATGTAGGTCTTTATAAGTCTTAATAACCAAACCTACGCATGGATTGAGGTTGTTTGTTCACCCCAATGTCCCCCAAAATCAACACAAATGGACATTGCATGGAGTTTATCATGATAGGATTACAACCATGTGATACAACAATGTTCATGTCGACAAAGATGGTGATTTTTTTTAAAGACTATGACTCCTGCCATTTATGTCACACTATTTTGTCCTTTCGTTTAAGAATCCACTAAAACAGGATTTCTAAGCTGCATGACCACATCAACATTTATCAAAGATATAATTTCACCCAGTTTAATCTTATTTTCCAAAATTTACTTACACACTATCCTACAGTCCTAATGTTTAAAAGTTAAACAAGGTGCTACTTAAAATTGCTATACAAAATACGAAACTGCGATTTATCTACAAAAGTACTGAAAATGAAATAGATTCTCTCTTTCTTACCAAAATCGTATTAGCGTACTAATACTATAATAAACGCCATGTGCATTTTTTGTTTTGATTAAAAATAATTTTGCTCGTGCTAAGCCACTTTGATATCAATCGTTTGTCTAACAACATCTCATCATATCGCCATACTACCTGTATGAATGTTCACATATCACTCACAGTATGTCTAAATTCTCGCTTCAGCAGCCAACCGGAAGTAAACAAGGGGTCAAAATTATGGGTAGATAACTCGTTCAACAGCCACCGCTGTTACCCAATATGGAACACTATTCAAATATTTGATATAGAATTTATATTTACAATGTAATAAAGACGTGCCTGGTTCGATCGATTTCTTGTCAGTTAAGAATGATAGTACTAGGACCACGGGATAAAAAAAAATAAATAAATCGATAGATCAGACAATAAATCAAAGTGTTACCTTAACATTTTAATTCATGGGATAACGTGTATGACGGACAATTATTAACGATTTTTAATAACAGAATACCTCTATGGTATAGTGATAGACTTAGTGAATGAAGCTGAGGGACCGAAAATGTTTGTGTCACATGTAATTTTGGTAAAATACTAGCCGCAACAAACTGCTCGACTACAGAGAACTCTCTTTCGCTCGCGATCGGTGGAGTACACCATATTTATTTTATCGGATTTTACGTCCACTATTACGACCAGTTTCGGTCTTTCAGCGGACGAGACGAAATCCTAGCGGAGACATTGAAATAATGACCTCTGATACAATGTAATCGGAAACAATTTTACCTACTTTTCCCAATAACATCTGACAGAGAATTCATGGTCAGTTTTTTTCTCGGGCGAGCCACCTTTGCCTTTCTTCATCCTCGCCAAAAATAAAGCTAATGCTTTAAGATAATGACCACGTATTCTCTATTTATCCTGCAACTGACACTGTCGTAATACACCCTCCACATAATATATTTTCACTGGCAGTGACGGAAAGCTGCTGTATTTTAACACGTGCAGTAATTCGACAAAATTTCTCTCTGATTTTGCATCAATATAACGTTTAGCAATATAAAATGTTGTAGTAATAAGCAATTTTACATGTTGTAATGAACATGTTGATCTATGTAAATTAAAAAATTCTTATTTATATCCGATGAAGTTTGGAACTATATTTCCATGCGCAGCAATTTGCCATCCGTCATCAGGCAAAAGTCAGCGAACGTGAGCGTCAGGTGAACACAAATGGAACAACAAAATCAGTCGAAGTTTCAACAGTGTGATTTTCAATCAATATTGCAGGATAAATATAATAATACATGGCCAGTGACTTAAAGGACAGAAAGACAAAAGTGGCTCGCCAATTCGTCAATTTTATCTTTATTCACCTTCGCCAAAATCAGGGACGTATACGTCCCTGCAAAAATACAACTTATATTTCAAGACACTCACCATGCTTCCTCTATTCATCCTGCAACTGGCACTGCCACATAATTTTTGCCGTATTCGGCAGTTACGAAAAAAATAATTCGACAAAATTACTTTCTGAAATTACTGAAAAATTACCTTAAACAATAAAAATAACTTGAAACAAACGATTTTATATGTTGCAATGAACAAGGTTGTTTACGAAAATTCATAAAATCGCTTTGATATTCATTGAATTTTGGAATTATAATTTCTGTGCGGAGCATTTTATGATGTACGTCACCAGGCAAAATTCAGCGTAACGTCAACGTCAGGTAGACAAAGATTGAACAACAAAACTGTTGAAGTTTTGATGGTCTGATCTTAAATCTTTAATGCAGGATAAATATAACACGTGATAATTGTCTTAAATAAAAACTTCATTTTGGCTCGAGACAGAAAGCCAAAAGTGACTTGCCAGAGGCTAGCTACTCTTGTCTTTCTCACCCTCTCCAAAATACCGCCCCAAAAGCTGCAAAGAAAAAAGGATGGTGTTGCGAATAATTTGTTTAGAAAAAATATGTATACCCGTCATAATTTGATGAATACTGACATATATTATCCCCCAGCTCGTATATGTGATTGAAGTGCGTAGACCGATAAACATGCGTACGTGATGATTAAATTTCAGTTTATTATTCTCATAAATTCGCAATAACCCCGATCCGAAGTTTCCGGATTCCGCATCCATTTTGCATATTTTTATGTCACTTCCTGCTTCCGTAGTGGGGAACTCGACGGTCATGTCACAAATCAAAAAGATCGCGTTTCGTAATTCATGATAGCATCGAGGACGGCTGATGACAATCATGTCTTTTCATGCGAACATGTTAACATCATCATCCTGTAGATTATTAGCAACATTTGGTTCCTCTCAGGCCCACCAGCTGTTTAGAAACACTCGCCAAAGATGCTTGTCAACGTTACGATATAAAAGTCAATGTCAAATAAGCGCTGTTTTTGGCTTAGTTCGCGCTTCCCAGATAGCATCAAGGGGCCTTAATAATTTCATTTTGCAAAACGCCTATGCCCCTATTTTTTGCATTTCAACTAAAACATTCTCTACCGGCAGAAATAGACATGGCAATAGTACATCGCCAGGAGAGATGAAAAGAGAGCTTCAATCAGGGATGTATGGTGAGAACTTTCGGGGACGAATGTTCGACATAAGGAATACGTCAAAACTAGTGACATCATTCTCACGTTTACCGGTTTTTGAGCTTAAGCGAATGTGGTTATTACACATATTACCGTCATATTACTTGGGAAAAGTTGACCGAAGTTTTTCTGCAGGTCAGTTCATGGGAGGAGCAGATATGGTAAGCAATGACTTGTCAAAGAGATAGCTTATAGCCTAAAGAAGCAGGAGTAGGCTGGGTTTGGCTAATTAATTAATAACCACAATGAAATCTGCTTATCTTGATTTAAGTCAGTACTCTCAGAGTGATTCTTAAATCGGTGAACTTTTTAGATGGCAATTCCTTAATCAAAACTTTTAACATTATTTCATGAGCATTAGAAAAACTTTTTTTTTATATCAATCCTTTTTGCCTCTGTGAATAATTGATAAAATATTAAATTGAAATTTAACGAATTTGAGTGAAATGTTTTGTATTATAAACAACATCAATCCTAGAAGTACTTGATTTATATATTAGTACACCTGCCAATTTACCCCCATTCAATTATGAGTTTCCAGATTTTTACTCTCTGGCCCTCCTTCAGATTGTGTGAATCAAAATTGGGGTAATCTCCCAATTTCAGATATTCCACTCTGTAGGTGATACGTAACCTTAATTAATATCATTAGTCTGGTGTACAGTGTACAATGCCATCAAACCCTAAATCTCAGTACTAAGTGAGGGCTATTGGTCTGGTGTACAGTGTACAATGCCATCAAACCCTAAATCTCAGTACTAAGTAAGGGCTATTGGTTTAAACACCTTATCTTATTGATTACTCAAACAGAGCTAGGGGAGAGTTATATTTGTTAATTGTAAAATTAAATGAAAAATGTGAATCTTATAAATACATTATTTTAATTTGATGTTTACCAGATTTACAAGTTTTATATATTTACTTACAATTAGTAGCAGATGGTAACTAAGGATATGATTTAGTTACCAGGCAGGGCATTAACTTTAATTTCCAATTTCAATTTCCATAACAAAGAATGAAAACTCCCTAATTTTACTTTCTCATTATTCAAATGAATTTACCAGCACTGACTTTTACATGGACCATTTCATTGTTATATCACTTTTCAAAGATGAAGTTACTATTTTCTCCTCAGGCTGTGGAACCAATACTAGAATCTGCTGGCAGTGGAAACTATGAAGAACTTTATGAATTTATGGATGAACAGGTAATGAAATGGTTTCTCTTTTCTCTTTTTCACAAAACTGTCTGTGTATATATGTGTCTGTCTTTCTAGCCTAGACATTAGCTTTGCTTTACTGATTTTCTTGTCCAAGAAAAACTAGATTAAGCCTTTTTCCTGTTTTCAAGAAATTTTTAACATACATTTTTAACCTAAACAAGGACACAAAAATTCCCACTGCAAAACTTTTTATCCATATATGCCAGCATCATTTCATTTCTGCTTTTTCCCCCAATTTTAACAAGTTGTTTTTTTTTGCTCCCATAATGACAAAAGTATTACAGTGTGGTGGCACTATAAAATGGCACCATTATCGTAAGATTTTTATTTTTTTTGTTATGATATATACCCATAATGATAGTAGTATAACAATATAATGGCACTTTAAAATCGCCCCAATATCATTTAAATGGCAGTGAAGCTGTTCAGAGGTTGATTTTCTTTGACCAAAAAAATCATCAAAAAATACAGCTGTGTTTTTTTTTCATCATCAAGACGATAGAAGAAATGCAGTTAAACCGTAAGAATATCAACAGCGAGTTACTCAATATGCTCACAGAAGAGGTCATCTTCGATATGTCATTTCAGAATGAGCGCACTCTATGTTCATTTGAAATTCAACAATTGGAAACCAAAGGTATGTGTAAACCCTGTGAAGTGCAGAACTCATTTGCACTCAGATATTTCAGATAGGGGTTTTAAGAGGATTGAAGTTCAACAGAATATAAAATGTAAAAAATAGTGTTCATGCCTTACAGACATTTTCTAGTGTAAGCGCATACCGTGTTCTCTGCATGATTTTCAAAACAATACACAGCAATAAGAAATATATTCCAGTTTAGAAAATTTAATTATATGCTCCTTTTTGATTTGCTTCTGTTGAATATTTTGTACTTTTTTATTGGGAACAGTAAAAGATAAACATATACACAAAACATTAAAAATAAACCCCTATCATAAATATCATTCTACCCAGACCATTGTCACTGCAGTGATATAACTTTGTCGGCCGGCTTCTACTACAATCTTAAGTGAAAGCTACATCCATGAAACACATTGTTCGTCAATGTAGGTATTAAGTAATTAATACAATATTAATGAGGTGGGATAGAGTGACATTGTTCGTCAATGTAGGTATTAAGTAATTAATACAATATTAATGAGGTGGGATAGAGTGACATTGTTCGTCAATGTAGGTATTAAGTAATTAATACAATATTAATGAGGTGGGATAGAGTGACATTGTTCGTCAATGTAGGTATTAAGTAATTAATACAATATTAATGAGGTGGGATAGAGTGACATTGTTCGTCAATGTAGGTATTAAGTAATTAATACAATATTAATGAGGTGGGATAGAGTGACATTGTTCGTCAATGTAGGTATTAAGTAATTAATACAATATTAATGAGGTGGGATAGAGTGACATTGTTCGTCAATGTAGGTATTAAGTAATTAATACAATATTAATGAGGTGGGATAGAGTGACATTGTTCGTCAATGTAGGTATTAAGTAATTAATACAATATTAATGAGGTGGGATAGAGTGACATTTGGCATGTCAAGTTTTGGGCAATGGGACCCTTGAGACACATTGTGCCTGAGAAGGGGATTTGTATTGTCAGCCATTAACCTCCTCACCTTGACAGGCTTAGCCAATGACAACCTAGGAGGTTTGTAGGTTACACTGCTGCACTGACCTGCCCAGCCACAGTCTCCAGAGCACTGTGGAGTGACCAGGTCCCACCCCCAGCACTGACAGGGTTTAAGAATCCAGGAAAAGAAATCCACTCACCATGTCGGATTTAGATTCTGAAGATGAAATCATTGAGGAGGCTGTCAGCCAAGAAGACCTGGAAGATGGCAAGGTCCTAAAATGGGCAGCATTTAAACACCTGTCTGCCAGAACATCAGGGGTATTACTGAAGCTTGGCTTCCAGTGTATGGAAGCTTTGGCATTGTTGGAGCCAAAAGACCTGATTAACTCGGATATACCGGTTGGTCAGCAAAAGCTTCTACTGAAAGATCTTTTATTCTTAATGGTATCACCAATGGATTTGATATTATTGACCCAAACTCCATTCCCCTTCATTGTGAAGCTCCCAATCAACCCTCTGCATCTATTCACGCCCATTTTACAAACTTGCCTCACAGCAAGTTCATACGGAAATATATATTGGCAATTACATCCCTATTGCCACTAAACCCCTTATCATTAGTCCAATAGGGGTTATCCCTAAAACATCTGGTTGGGTTAGACTCATTCATGACTGTAGCCGGCCATCAGGACAGGCAGTTAATGACTACTGCACAACAATGGATAAACAAAAATTCCAGTCTATAGATAATGCGGTTGGGCTACTTACCCCAGGTTGTTTTATGGCCAAGGTTGACCTTAAGTCAGCCTATAGATCTGTAGCTATAAGTAAACATAGTCAAATGGTAACAGGACTCCAATGGACTTTAAATGGTGAACCCCACTATTTCTATGATTCGAAGCTGCCTTTTGGAGCAAAGGCAAGTCCTGGAATTTTTCATAGACTTACACAAGCAGTCGGAAGGATTATGTCCTGTGCTGGACACCACAATCTGGTGGTGTATTTGGATGACTTTTTCATCTGTGCAGATTCTCATGAGGAGAGTTCCTCTATGTTAGCATATCTTATAGGCCTGTTGAGAAAGATGGGATTTCTTATTAACTGGTCTAAGGTATATGGCCCAGCTCAGGTTATGACATTTCTTGGCGTTGAGATTGACACGGTCAATATGATGTTACAGTTACCTTTGGAGAAGCTGAAAGCTCTTAGATCTGATATTTTGATTTCCGTAATTGCAAACGTGCTACTAAACGACAGTTACAATCCATTGTGGGACAACTGAGGTGGGCCGCTACAGTTATCCGAGGCGGGCGAGTTTTTCTCCGTCGTTTGATTAACTCTATGGCAGCCCTTAAAAAGCCAAGTCACAAAGTCATGTTAGTTAGCCCAATGTTACAAGACATTGAATAGTGGGTTACAGGCCTATCACTTTTCAATGGCAAGTCATTGTTACTCAATGATATCCCCTTCACTGCCCTGTATACAGATGCATGTCCTATTGGGGGTGGGGGGCACCGGGGGAGGAGGACTGGTTCTACACAGCCTGGTCTCAAGATTTCCCCCGGCCATGCAATGGCATATTAATGAAAAGGAATTACTTGCAGTAGTTGTTGCATCGTATCGCTGGGCCCCTTGTTGGACCGACATGAAAATATATGTTTTTAGCGATAATACAACCACAGTAGCCTGTTGAATTAAGGGCACTTCCAAAAACCCAATACTTATGGGGTTATTATGTAATATGTTCTGGTTATCTGTTTTGTTCAACTTCCACATAGTTGCTAGACACATTAAAGGTGTTAACAATGGCATGGCAGATACTGTGTCTCGGCTTCATGAGTCTGTTCATTTGCAACAGTTTTGCAGTAGATTTGGTAGACCAGTACCAACTCTGTACTTTTTGGATCACTTGTCAGCACCTTCCTTTCTGTGTTTCTGAACAGGTGGCCAAGGTCCTTCATCGAAATCCACCATAATCAAAAACCTTGATACTACTGTTGACATATTACGGGCAAACCATTTTGCTAAGTCTACTCAGAAGACCTACAGTACATACCTGTCTTCATACAGAAGGTTTTGCATGCTTGTAGAGATACCATTAGTCCATTTATCACCAGTTAATCTGGGACGCTATATTGCTTATTTGTCTGATCGACTTACCTTTTCATAATTAAGGCAGTATATGTTAGTCATCAAGCTTTTACACCAGGAATTGGATTACTCCAGTCCTCTTGACTCCTTTTATGTCGGTACTATATTGAAAGGAGCACATAGAACAATGGGTGATGTTTGCAATCCTAAACTTCCAATCACCCTTAGCATCTTGAAAAAAATGTTCTCCATAAATTGTCTGACCCCCTCCAAACATATCACTTTTTGGGCAGCATGCCTGGAAGCTTTTTACTCTTTTCCAATCTGTTTATCTCAGATAAAGACAAGTTTGAATCTGGGAAACGCCTAAGTAGACATGATATCCATCTCTCCAACCAGAGTACAATTCTGTCTATTACCTGGTCAAAAACCATTCAGTTTAAGGAGAGATGTCTTCTTATCCCCCTCCCATGCATACCAGGGTCACCCTTCTGCCCTACACAGGTTTTGACCTTGGTTTTTGCCTTGACACAGCAGGCTGACCCACATGGCCCAGCCTTTGTTTACCAGTCAAGGGGTACAATCATCCCCTTACATACCAATCTTTCCTCTCACAGCTTCATATTATCCTCCAGGAATGTGGCGTTGATCCAGCTAGATACTCAGGCCATAGCTTTCGCAGGGTTGGGGCATCTTTTGCTTTAGAATGTGGCTTACCTGCTGACCTTATTCAAACACGGGGAGATTGGCGTAGTGATGCCTATAAAAGCTACTTGGGCCCATCCTTGTCGCTGGAAAGGCAGTATCACACCGCAATGGTATTGGAGAGAGATAGGTTGCATCCTTGTTTGTGATTACAGTAGCTATCAGTGGAATATTGTATTTGTGTTAATTTTCTCAGTCATAACTTTCAGGACTTGGACATTAGTGTTTTGGACTGCCTGCCATGACTCAATTTCTTTTTTGTTTTTTCTTTATGAATGTGTGGTTACCTTCAGCTGGACATTGAGAATCCTATTGGGTTGATCTTCATTTGTGTGTTGTTGTGATCTGTTGATATGTCTGCTAATTACCCTCTGTATAATAGAGTAATTCCACCACATCATGGACATAAATTTCCCCCCCTTTTTTTTTGTTTAAGAATGTTTATTTTTCCTACTCTACTAACAGGTTTGGGCTATTAGTTTGGAAGACCAGTATTTCATTATTTGTGGACTGTGTTGTCCACAGATATATAATTTTGTAATGTTACATAATGTTACATAATAAGAAAATATGGGTTACTTTTGGCCTAAACCTGTGTCTGAGTTTTTATATACCCCTATCTACCAGTACATCTGATTAATAGTCAATCATTAGTGTAAACTGCCCAACAGTATGTCACATACATGCAATATTCTTTTTGTTGGCAAAGGCTGGGAGTCTGACATGATTGATGTTCAAATATACGACAGATTTAAGTGACGATATTTCATTGTTTTTATGTTATAAACACACAAAACCTTTTTCTTTTACTTTATATACTTTTACTTGTCACAATTAAAAATATTTTTATATGTTTTGTATTATTTCTCAGCAATGTAAGAGAACAAATGACAGCAGGTTATTCACATAAAAAAGTAGTCTGCACAAAAATATTGTACAGATTAGAATGTGATTTTTAAGCTTTTATAGCCGTACAAAAGTTTTTTTTTTGTTATGCTGTAGATAGTGGATGACAGTAAAATGTAAATATGGTATTCTGAAACACATGGGACATTTACATGTAATCACCTCACTGACATATCCTTCCTCCATATTAAAGCAACACCTCAAAAAAGGGGTGTGTTAAGAAAGAGAATGACAAGAGGATACTATTTTTGCATTATCTTTAACTCACGATCTTCGGCCACTTAATGGCCTTGATGAAAATCTATTGACAATTTTTTTAATCACTTATGTGATTTACTTTTCAGTCATAATAACGTCTGTTTATAGTGTTGTATATGATTTTATTTCAGGGCTGTCTAAGATCAGTATAACTGGGATTTTGAGAGGTGATGCTATGATAACCACACCAATGGGTCAGACTCTCTACAGAATTACCTCCCCTTCCTTCATTAATAAACCTCATGAAATTCCCATGGATATCAACATCCATTTCATGTTCAGGTAAACTTCCAGTATTCTGTTTTACATAAAACATTTTCTAAACTTTCACTGTTAATATAAACAGAGTTTCTTTCCACTTTTTAGTTCGCCTGAGCCGAAGGCTCATGGTGACCTATTGCCATCATGATTTGTCTGTCATCGTGCCTCGTGCGTCGTTAACTTTTCACATATTCAACTTCTTCTCAAGAACCACTGTATGGATTTTGACCAAAGTTGGCACAAAGCATCCCCATGGGAAGCCACTTAAAGTTTGCTAAGGAAAAGGGCATGGCCCCAATAGGGGCCGCAGGAGGGGGGAAAAGGGGGTAAAATTAGGTAAATCTTTAAAAATCTTCTTCTTATAAACCAACAGTCAGATTAAATTCATATTTGATATTTAGGGTTCTTATTGCAAGCTCTCCAAAGTTTGTGAATGAAAAAAAATTGAGTCGAAAAGGGCCCCACTAGGGGGCGCTCAAAAGGGTCAAAAATTCAACTTTGAGCAATTTCAACCAAATTTGGTAGAAAGCATCCCTTAGTGAAGGACATATGAAATTATGTTGAAAAAAGTTTATGTCCCCTTTTGGGCCCATAAGGGGTGTAAAAGGGGCCATATGTAAAAACCTTCTTTAAATGACTTCTTCTCAAGAACCATTGGATGGATTTTGACCAAACTTGGCACAAAGCATCCCCATGGGAAGCCGCTTCCAGTTTTGCGAAGAAAAAGGGTCTGGCCCCAATAGGAGCCGCAGGAGGGGGAAAAAGGGGGTAAAATTAGGTAAATCTTTAAAAATCTTCTTCTCATGAACCGTCAGATTAAATTCATATTTGATATTTAGGGTCCATATAGCAAGGTCTACAAAGTTTGCGAATGAAAAACAAAATCGGGTCAAAAATGGCACCACTAGGGGGCGCTGAAAGGGTCAAAAATTCAACTTTAATTGATTTCAACCAAATTTGGTAGACAGCATTCCTTAGTGAAGGACATATGAAATTATGTTGAAAAAAGTGATTATGTCCCCTTTTGGGCCCATAAGGGGTGTAAAAGGGGCCATATGTAAAAACCTTCTTTAAATGACTTCTTCTCAGGAACCATTGGATGGATTATGACCAAACTTCAAATTTACGAAGAAAAAGGGACTGGCCCTAATAAGGGCAGCAGGAGGGGGGAAAAGGGGGTAAAATTAGGTAAATCTTTAAAAATCTTCTTCTCATGAACCAACAGTCAGATTAAATTCATATTTGACATTTAGGGTCCTTATAGCAAGGTCTACAAAGTTTGTGAATGAAAAATAAAATCGGGTCAAAAACGGCACCACTAGGTGGCACTAAAAGGGTCAAAAATTCAACTTTGAGTGATTTCAACCAAATTTGGTAGACAGCATTCCTTAGTGAAGGACATATGAAATTATGTTGAAAAAAGTTATAAGGTCCCCTTTGGGGCCCATAAGGGGTGTAAAAGGGGCCCTATGTAAAAACCTTCATTAAATGACTACTTCTCAAGAACCATTGGATGGAATTTGACCAAACTTGGCACAACGCATCCCCATGGGAAGCCGCTTCAACTTTGTGGAGAAAAAAGGCGTGGCCCCAATAGGGGCCCCAGGAGGGGGGAAAAGGGGAAACTTGATACGAATGTTCTACACAAGGTCCTGGCAAGTGTTTTAACATTTGGGGCAATTCAAAATCCAAGATGGCCACCCTGGCCTCTGTTTGGCTAAGACATTATGGACTTCCTCTCAAGAACTATTGGGTGGGTCATGTTCAAACTTGGTACAGATGTTTTACACAAGGTCCAGCACAAGTGTTGTTACATTTTTGCAACATTTTAAAATCCCCAGATTATTGACATATTATATTTCTCAGGTGACCATTAAGGCCCCTTGGGCCTCTTGTTTTTTTTTTTTTTTTTTGGCTTTTAAAGCTGAAGACTAAAAATTCAGCCAACCGAAAGTATATTTATAAAATAATTCATAGTGTGTGACTACCAATCATGTAAACTCTTGTTACTATGGATACAAAACTGCAGTATTAAACTATTAGTAGCTGTTGTATTAAACATACTTGTTATCACTTTTACAGGTGTACCCGAGATTATTACTATGACGATCCACACAAGGACTGGGTCATCAATGGATTTACTTTCCTCATAGATGTCCCAGATTTATTTATAGCCTACATACTTTAATTGTGTTTTAAATTTAAGATATTGATATTTGAATGATATTGAATTTCAAAACAAACAATTTTTGTATCATGTGAATATGAAAATTAAATTCAATGTAAATTTGTGTACAAATAAAGTTGCTTCAGAGTTGACAACCTGATTTCTTTCAATGGCAATGATGATAGATGACCTTGACCTTAGCAACCTTATATCTACAAGTACAGATTGAAGAGTGACTGAAGCTAGACTTAATTCAGCTGTCCCTAGGGACCTATTATCAAATCATCAATGGATATGGTTAAAACAAGGGACATGATCTTGGCCCATGCTGATCATACTAGGATGTTCACAAAGGGACAGGTAGCATATTACCTGAGTCATCTTTACTGTTCTCTCTATTTATTTTAACTACCTGAATGCTATGATACAATAACATCATTACATAATTAACTGTTCAGATAAGAGTCTTCATTCATTGGAGGGCGTTGGAAAACGTCACACACCTCTCAGATAGCACAGTGTTACATTGACTTGTTCAGTGTTTAACTTCAATAGTGCATTTTCCATATTTTCAGTCTGTCTCTCAGAATTATTTTTTTTATGTCTAGCAATTCGTTAATGTATATTTTAAAATAATTTTTCAACGACGCATTTCAACATTTTTCACTTTTCAGGCCAGTGGCTGGTTTACGGGGGATTTAAAAAACCTAGATTGCTCTTGTATCATTACAAAGTGTACATTATTATTATCAACTAAAAGACAAATAGATCTAATTTCACTGCGGTTGGGCATGCTGTTCTTCAGCAGGGAAATCAGCAGCAACTGCTGTCTTATTTCAATTCGTCGTAGCCTCCATCTTAATTTGGTGAAACACAAGTCTCTGAGTCACTCTGGTGCTATTAGAATCGCCATAACTGTAATATTGTATGGTGGATGGCCGCAGAGTTATATTCAGGGGCCTGGGAGTCTGCACTCGACAGATTGCCATCCTGCCACCTACCAACACTGACAGCCGCCTCCCAGATGCCTTTCAATCCCCACCCTGCTGCCGGCAGATATTTTGAAATTGTATGGTGGCATGTCGGTAGCATAACGGCAGCAGGGCGGATGCTGGAGAGTGACAGTTCATTCCTACCGATTACCGACCAAAGCTTGAAGGCCCTCAAACCTAGCGACAGAGTAAAAAACCTGCCACTTTATGGCCACCACACAACTTTGAAATGTGCCCAGTTGGTACCCTGATCACAGGCACGATTGGAAAAATAGGCCGGTGGCAAACAGAATTAGCGGCATCTAAAATGCTGTCTGCCAATTGTGCCTGCCAACGAGCTGCCACCAGCCCAATTTGAGTTACAAAAATTAAATACTCCACTGTTAAGCATATTCTGTGATTGTAGATTTCAACTAATACCAGGAAATCCTGTATTCTAAAGTACAGTTGGTGAACATGAGTTTTAGAGTCTAAAGTCCAGTATTATATATATTTGTTATATTTTATAGTAAATCTAAGATAAACAAGTTAAGAACTTGGGCAATGTTGCCATAACACTCTAGTAAATGGTAGGAATTGGTGAGAGATTTCTAAAGTTAAGGCAATTTTAAAGAGGTAACAAACTACAGCCCAACCAATCTTAAAGATCACACAGCTGTTTTTGTTCCCTGTATAATACAGTTTATAGTAATTGAACTTTATATAAAAAAAACACCTGTGTATAAAGGCCAATTTTCTATGCTTCTTTGAGTGGCCCCTTTTGACAGTTTTGTAGCAAATATTTTTTCAAAAACACTTTTAAAAGCATTCTTAGCACATAGTGTTAGCAACACATTGAGTATATGAATCTGTAGTCTGGTGTTAACTTGCTCCAATTCAGATGTCATCATCATGGGAACCTTATATAAACCCATAACAAACTACCAAATTTTTCATGGCCAGTAAAACAAAATGATTAAAAAGAAATGATTCTTTCAAATACCTTTATTTTTCACAGTCATACAAACAAATAACCATAAGGAAATGGTCATCAACAGCTCGCTTGATGCCTCGGACAGTACACCTTGTATTTATATGTAACACCACGTTCCTCCTGTAGTGTTCGATCTAAAGCAACAGACCTGGAAATAAACACAGATCAAACATTATAGGTATCCATGTATCAAGGTGTGTCTATCATGTCTTAGTATATTATACCAATGGCTCAAAAATTGAAAATAATTGACTCATAAATTTGAAATTATAAAGTTCATTATGTCCATGAATTGAAATGTTTTTATTAGGGATGTCAGTTTGACAGAAATTTCTATTTGAATATTCTTCTGACTAGATATTTGAATGTTCATTTTCATGTGTATTCCAAGCTCTGGGTTTTGTCAACAAGCCATAACATACCAAAGACCTTCAAATGATACTTCATGCACCCTAATTTTCGCTCAGATGCACAAGTACTTGCCAGCCATTTGCATTTTCATTTCTGTGTGATGACACTTTAAAAGTGTCTGTTATTAGCCCAATTATTGGTGGACACTCCAAGTCCATAGATGACAGAACCATTTCACATTTGATTTCACTTCTGTATGTTCAACAGTTAAGTTTTTCAAGAACCACTAAGGGACAATATACAGACAGTTTTCAAGGCTTCAGATTTGATGTAGTGTTATATTGCTGTATGTCTGCAGGCATTCTGACATAATATTTGACCTGTCACAGAATCTGGAGGCACACTGACCTAATATTTGACCTATTACAGTATCTGGAGGCACACTGACCTAATATTTGACCTATCACAGTATCTGGAGGCACACTGACCTAATATTAGACCTATCACAGTATCTGGAGGCACACTGACCTAATATTTGACCTATCACAGTATCTGGAGGCACACTGACCTAATATTTGACCTATCACAGTATCTGGAGGCACACTGACCTAATATTTCACCCATCACAGAATCTGGAGGCACACTGACCTAATATTTGACCCATCACAGTATCTGGAGGCACACTGACCTAATATTTGACCTATCACGGTATCTGGAGGCACACTGACCTAATATTTCACCCATCACAGAATCTGGAGGCACACTGACCTAATATTTGACCCATCACAGTATCTGGAGGCACACTGACCTAATATTTGACCTATCACAGTATCTGGAGGCACAATGACCTAATATTTGACCTATCACAGTATCTGGAGGCACACTGACCTAATATTTGACCCATCACAGTATCTGGAGGCACACTGACCTAATATTTGACCCATCACAGTATCTGGAGGCACACTGACCTAATATTGGACCTATTACAGTATCTGGAGGCACACTGACCTAATATTTGACCTATTACAGTATCTGGAGGCACACTGACCTAATATTTGACCTATCACAGTATCTGGAGGCACACTGACCTAATATTTGACCTATCACAGTATCTGGAGGCACACTGACCTAATATTTGACCCATCACAGTATCTGGAGGCACACTGACCTAATATTTGACCTATCACAGTATCTGGAGGCACACTGACCTAATATTTGACCTATCACAGTATCTGGAGGCACACTGACCTAATATTTGACCTATTACAGTATCTGGAGGCACACTGACCTAATATTTGATCCATCACAGTATCTGGAGGCACACTGACCTAATATTTGACCCATCACAGTATCTGGAGGCACACTGACCTAATATTTGACCTATTACAGTATTTTTACTTGTTACTTACTTATCTTCGTGGAATCTGCCCTCAAAAGGCGGAAAAAACGTGTCTGCTTCATACTCTCCATATATATGTGTCAGATAGATTTTATTACATTGTGGATGGTTGACTGCATCCTGTACAATGAGAAAATCGTTGTCATTATTAATAAGTATGTTTCCTCTGTGCTTCAGATTTTCATGATTTCATAAAAAGTTTGAAACAGAAAGCCTGTATTTTTCGTTGATGAAATCAAAAGGATTATGTTTTTGTCTGAATTTTTTTTTTTTTGCATTGTTATTCTGTTATTGAAAACAGAACATCTCGAAAAATACAATCTTCATATTAGTATTATCGAGGTTGGAAAAATCATTCAGATATCTAATCTGTACTTGAATGTACCGTGTATATACTTTGTCCTCCCATCACCCACACAGTCTCCACTTGGTCATGTAATGTTATGCTGACATATTCAAGAGCCTCATCCAGACTGGCCACTACTTTATGGACATATGGGTCTCCTGAAATCTCGGCGCTTAAAAAGGGAAAAGGAAGTCGCTTAGATTCTAACATATCATGTTCTAAGCAACTTGTACACAAAAAATAACCAAAAAACAAAAAAAAAACAGAAAGAAATAAAAACATTGTATATCAATATTTATATTGTATAGCATCAAGCATGTCATGTTAGCATGTTGTCGGTATGATGTGACTGGGCTAGGCCTGGGTGTCATGTTAGCATGTTGTCAGTATAAAGTGACAGGGTGTGGCCTGGGTGTCATGTTAGCATGTTGTCAGTATAAAGTGACAGGGTGTGGCCTGGGTGTCATGTTAGCATGTTGTCAGTATAAAGTGACAGGGTGTGGCCTGGGTGTCATGTTAGCATGTTGTCAGTATAAAGTGACAGGGTGTGGCCTGGGTGTCATGTTAGCATTTTGTCAGTATAAAGTGACAGGGTGTGGCCTGGGTGTCATGTTAGCATGTTGTCAGTATGATGTGACTGGGTGTGGCCTGGGTGTCATGTTAGCATGTTACCATTATAATGTGACAGGGTTAGGCCTGGGTGACAAGTTAGCGTGTTGTCTGTATGATGTGACTGGGTGTCATGTTAGCATGTTCTCAGTATGATGTGACTGGGTGTCATATTAGCATGTTGTTGGTATGATGTGACTGGGCTAGGCCTGGATGTCATGTTAGCATGTTGCCGGTATGATGTGACTGAGTGTCATATTAGCATGTTGTCGTATGATGTGACTGGGTTAGGCCTGGGTAGCATGTTAGCATGTTGTCGGTATGATGTGACTGGGTGTGGCCTGGGTGTCATGTTAGCATGTTGTCGGTATGATGTGAATGGGTGTGGCCTGGGTGACATGTTAGCATGTTGTCAGTATGAGCTGACTGGGTGTGGACTGGGTGTCATGTTAGCATGTTGTCGGTATGATGTGAATGGGTGTGGCCTGGGTGACATGTTAGCATGTTGTCAGTATGAGCTGACTGGGTGTGGACTGGGTGTCATGTTAGCATGTTGTTGGTATGATGTGACTGGGTGTGGCCTGGGTGTCATGTTAGCATGTTGTCGGTATGATGTGACTGGGTGTGGCCTGGGTAGCATGTTGACTTGTCAGTATAAAGTGATCGGAGAGAAAGTCATGTTAACTTGAACAGTTGATGACATTTCTGTTGGGTGCACGTTGAAGTGTCCGTTGGTAATTACGTCATCCATGGATCACATCACCCTTGCTGATGCGCGTGCGAGGATGTAAAACTTCAAACAAACAATATGCCTTCTTTTTTATCTAATCAACAAACGGAAGTACATCGATTTTCATCTCTACAAACAGGACGGATGCCTATAGCAGTGTTAATGGAGATTCACGTCTCTTTGTTCTAGTACCAGCAAAAAGGCAAACCAATGGTATTGCATTCATGGTATAATGACTGTCGTTTACCTGGGGAAATATATGACCTGGGCTTATACGGCTACAATGTGTACTAGGAGCAAAACCAAAACAAGAGCGATGTGCCTCGACCGAAAATGACCCCAAAATTTACATAGGACTGCTACAGTAGTTTGTACAAACACTTACGTCGGATTCCGGCTTATCACGATGTTGATGATAGAGTCACGTGCTTTCTCTTCCATACTCGTGCATTGCCACGTCACACGACCTTTGATATTGACGCACTTTTTACCTACAGAAAAATCTTCATTATTACTTACCTAAATATGTTAATATAACTAAAACATGGAGAAACTGCATCATTATCTTTTACACAGAGTTGTCGTTCCTGTCACTAACTAAAACATGTAAGGGGTGTTTGGTGTGTTTTACACTCACTCGGTGTTCACGAAAACGGATATTGGTATCACGTATAAAATAACTTATTGAAGGTTGCCTCTATATCAAGATTTTTCAATATTTTTCCTATAAGGTTTACCTTTGATAAAAGGTATCGCTTGTTTTGTAGCCGATATCTGCTGTTGTGAACGACCATTGAGTATAATCTTTATTTTCGAGATTTTCCCGGTAACATCATAATGTTGATGACTTCTTACTACTTTTCAACACTGTGGAATTATAAACCCGGCGTGTATGGTGTCACTTTACATTTTGATGTATAAAAGGTTCCAAAGGTTTTGAATCATTACAATGAAGGTTGAACGTCAATACATCAGACAGACTCGGTATATACCAGGGTTAGAGGTCAATCCCCATAACTTCTCACTTCTTACCGTACATATACATTAAAGTCCTACATTTTATGCCCATTGTCATATTATGGGGAGTGGCGCAATGATATAGTGTTACTCACGTCCGCCACAGTTCATCGGCATCCCGTTCCGAATCTATGTCATATGTATAAAGCCTCTCAGTAGATTCAGTTTACACATTGTATTTACCCAGAGTATCAAAACATCAAGTTTTACATATCATCTAATCATATTCTGAAATATCGGAGGAACTCTCGCAGAGATATCAAGTATTTATGTTTTAAATGTAAACCCCCATGTTCCATACCTGGGTCTGATGTCTTAGATGTAAGGTTCATGTAATATCGGTATTCCTTGCTGAAATGCATAAAAAGAACATACATGTAAAATGGGGTATTTTGACCAAAAAGATAACAACAGACAGAACCACCACGAGGACTTTTACTGGTAACAGAAATACAATAAACAAAGAGCGGGAAGGGGGGGGGCGGGGGGGGGGGGGGTAACTGGGTTTAGTTGTCGCTGCTGTCATTGTCGCTATTTTTTTTCTGTTTTGTTTCATTTATTTAAAAAAAATTCTACAGCCAACAGAATGCATTTTGCCCAGAATCACGATATTATTTGACAACATTTTCTTTAACCTCTTTGATCAGGGAATTCTGTTTTACAATAACAATGATCAAGGAATTCTGGGTCATAAACACATGTGACAGTGTGTTATTTATGCTTTTTAATTTTACCTAAGTACTAGGGCATGTTTTGACAATGTCAGAAATGCATATTTTATATCTTCTGACAAGGGTCAGGTTGTTAACTTTATATGTATTTTTAATAGGTAACATGTCTATATGTCTGACATGGGTCAGATATTTATAATGTTTCATTTTTAGTTATAGAATGCCAGGTAAGTATGTCTTGTGATGTGAATTGTACTCACTATTACCTGTATGAATCCCATATATGGTAAATACATGTACATGCACAAGTTTGACCTATGACAGCCACTGACCTGTCCAGTGAACCGACATTGACGATTTTGATTGGCTAGATTCCATCATGAGAGGGAAAGTAAGCTTGATTTGAACATCGGTATTCAGTTCTTTGTTGTAGAACAGATTTAGATTCCCAAGGGGAAAGATGTATTATAATTGGTAAGTTATATATTTACTAGTATTTCAGAATATTGTAGTTAATTTATTGTTTAATATATATTACAATAAATTAGTCCTGTAGAATAAATGTATTTTTTTAATATAAAGTATATAGTATAATACATGTATCATTTTTCTCTTTGGAAGTTTGGCTATCCCAAGTTTATCTGCAGTGCTACAAATTTGCCTGATCATATTTTTAATTCTCAATTTGTGTTGTCTATTGTCATGTTAAACGGTATATGACAAGTATTAAGTAGTTGTATTAATTTTATAGATAATTGGAGAGTGATAGCGGGAGACAGCATAGTTTCAAGTGTGTATATTAGAGAACCTCTATAAACCTCTACACCATATGTAGGGTGAGTTTACTATATAAAATTATTACGTTGAAATGTATATTCGATGTTAATGAATATGAAATATGGACAGTATATGTATGTTTCAGGAAAGTAAGACAATTTAGTCATAGAAGTATTTTCTGTGTTTTGTATTATTTAATCATATAACAGTACTGTATAAGTAATGTTGATTTAAATAATCTAATTATATTGTAAAGTTGGTAAACAGTTTGTATTTGCCATAATTTAGATAATAGAGGAAAAAAATAGGTAATTATACAGTGCGAGAGTTATGTCCCCTGATGTTGTGTGTGCAATACTAAGTGTTTGTCTTTGGTTCTTTTCTATGGTTTTTTATGCATTGAATAAATGTTATTAAGAAGAAAACAAGCTTTGGCGTGGTGTTTTCACCCTGTTACACACATAACTTAGAAAATCGTTCACCGAATTCTTGGTTGCTTGGTAACAAATTTAAACAACATTCTTTAACAACAGTCATAGGAAACTGTGGAATTCTGAGTAAAAAATATTAACAACTGCCATGGCATTCTGGGTAAATAAAACCTACCTTATCTGTGGTCATGGCATTCTGGGTAAATAAAACCTACCTTATCTGTGGCCATGGCATTCTGGGTAAATAAAACCTACCTTATCTGTGGCCATGGCATTCTGGGTAAATAAAACCTACCTTATCTGTGGCCATGGCATTCTGGGTAAATAAAACCTACCTTATCTGTGGCCATGGCATTCTGGGTAATAAAACCTACCTTATCTGTGGCCATGGGATTCTGGGTAAATAAAACCTACCTTATCTGTGGCCATGGCATTCTGGGTAAATAAAACCTACCTTATCTGTGGCCATGGCATTCTGGGTAAATAAAACCTACCTTATCTGTGGCCATGGCATTCTGGGTAAATAAAACCTACCTTATCTGTGGCCATGGCATTCTGGGTAATAAAACCTACCTTATCTGTGGCCATGGCATTCTGGGTAAATAAAACCTACCTTATCTGTGGCCATGGGATTCTGGGTAATAAAACCTACCTTATCTGTGGCCATGGCATTCTGGGTAATAAAACCTACCTTATCTGTGGCCATGGCATTCTGGGTAAATAAAACCTACCTTATCTGTGGCCATGGCATTCTGGGTAAATAAAACCTACCTTATCTGTGGCCATGGCATTCTGGGTAATTAAACCTACCTTAACGACGGCCAAGGAAGTTTGTTCGCCATCCCGATACCTCTGTTACTACACATAGCTGCCATGACGTTGAACGACATCTCGCTTGCTTTTGTCACACACTGAAATATAAAAAATGCTGTCACATAGATTGTCTTCCCGTATCTAGGTCGAGGGTTTAATATTCAGTCTCGTTGTCACTGTCCTGACCGGGAAAGGTATACCCTTATGTGATGTCCGTAAACGTCCTTATATGACACTACGTTTAATAGCTCGAAGTCACCAGTCTCGCCAGCGGTGATGACAACACCAAGAAGATATTCACGGATAACGAAGCCTTGTTCGATTGAAAAAAAAATGATAAAGCTCGTTAAGGCAACACGATACATATCTAAATGACACATTTGTTATGAAAACGTTTCGACTCAGTGATCTTGACATAGAGAACACGTGGAAATGGCTGCACAGTAACACATTATACCGTATCTACAGAAGCTGAAGAGTTCCATAAGAGTAGAGTTAGTTTGACAGGCAATCCATTTACTGACAAATGTTTACGGTTTCCTTGTATCAAAACGCTACAAATCGAACGCTATCAAGAAGCAAATTTCACGTGTAGTTTTCATTAAGCCGTAAAATGCTAGATTTGACCGCAGGAGTCGTTTATAACGACCATAAATACCGTTACAAGACAGTTCAATGTTTGTATTTTCATCCCCTAAACGTATTGCTATCTTACGCAACATATTATCGACCGCTTAATCCGCAAAATGGAACAGCTTTTAATCCGTCAAGTTGTCATCTGGCAAGTTGGATGGCCATTTTGACGGTATACCACAATCCCTATCAGAATATATATAACACGATAAATGCTGTTATTAAGGGTACCGAAATACACTCTGGTCGGGACTGGATGTCCCGTTTTCGTTACTTATAAAAGTAACGTTATGATGGCTAGGGGCAGTAATGAAATTCGTGGCTCTTTATTACTTAACTTCTTACTGGTTTGTTTATATGATGCAAATCAGAATACAGCCAATAAGAGGAATCATGTGATTTATCCTTTATTATGCTTATCACGGTATACAATGTAGATATAGATATAAGTCTGAAGGTTTATCACGGTATACAATGTAGATATAGATATAAGTCTGAAGGTTTATCACGGTCTGAAGGTTTATCACGGTATACAATGTAGATATAGATATAAGTCTGAAGGTTTATCACGGTATACAATGTAGATATAAGTCTGAAGGTTTATCACGGTATACAATGTAGATATAGATATAAGTCTGAAGGTTTATCACGGTATACAATGTAGATATAGATATAAGTCTGAAGGTTTATCACGGTATACAATGTAGATATAGATATAAGTCTGAAGGTTTATCACGGTATACAATGTAGATATAGATATAAGTCTGAAGGTTTATCACGATATACAATGTAGATATAGATATAAGTCTGAAGGTTTATCACGGACATACAATGTAGATATAGATATAAGTCTGAAGGTTTATCACGGTATACAATGTAGATATAGATATAAGTCTGAAGGTTTATCACGGTATACAATGTAGATATAGATATAAGTCTGAAGGTTTATCACGACATACAATGTAGATATAAACTGAAGGTTTATCACGGTATACAATGTAGATATAAGTATGAAGGTTTATCACGGACATACAATGTAGATATAAGTCTGAAGGTTTATCAAGGTTTATATATATATGTAATGGTTTATTTGTGATTTCGAAAAGTGCTCGGACGTTAATCAAAAGTCCTTTTGGTCTTTGGTCAAAAGGCGCCGCAAGACTTCTTCTGGCGCTGATGGTACGGATATGAACTTTAGTGGAACCGCCGTCAGAGATCCAGGTCTCCTAGCCTTTCATTGGGGTGAATATTTTAGTGAAATTTATTCTAAGTCCGAATCTGCGAGCTTTGATACTCCCTTTGAAAAAAGAGTTAATACCTCAGTGGCCAATATTTTGTCCTATCATGAAATAGACGATAATTTTGGTGAAGAATTCTCCAAATTTGAGATAAAAGCTGTCTGTAAAGGCTTACCATGTGGTAAGGCAGCTGGTTACGACCTTATTGTATACGAGCACATACTTTACGCTCCTGATACTATGTACGATTGTTTACATGTTCTTTTTCATGCTTTTGTAAGGCTAGAATATGTCCCTTCTCTCCTCACTAAAGGTCTTATCTCTACACTGTATAAAGGTCATAACAAACCAAAAAACGATACAAATAGTTACCGTGCTATCTCTTTGCTGCCAGTTATTTTGAAAGTTTTTGAAAAACTGTTACTTATTAGGCTTGAAGCTCAGGATTTACTTGTACCTAATCCGGTACAAAACGGGTTTCAAAGAAATGTTAGTAGCACAATGACGTCATTTTTAGTTCATGAATCAGTCTCTTATGCTTGCGACAGTAACAACAAACTTTTTACCTGTTTTCCTGACGCTGCCAAGGCATTTGACTGTGTTTGGCATAACGGCCTATTTTACAAACTTCACAATTTAGGTCTCAAGTCAAAGTACCTTCACGTGATTGTTTCGATATATTCCAATATGTATAGTGCAGTTTTATACCAAGGTTTCATCTCTAACTGGTTCACGATATGCCAAGGTACGCGTCAGGGGAGCATTATTTCACCCTGGCTCTATACATTTTTCATTAATGATTTACTTGATGAATTGTTTTTCAAAATATGCTCTAGATTTGTATGGTGTAAATGCTACATGTCCCAACTCAAGCAGACGATATAACGCTGCTGTCTCTATGTAAACGTGGCTTAGACAATCTTATGGACATCTGCTATAACTATGGTTGTAAGTGGAGATTTTTCTATAATGCTTCGAAATCAACCGTTATTGTATTTAATGGAAGTAAAAGTGTATTTTCAAAGGCTAATAATCGTAATTGGAATCTCGGTTGCGATGCCGTGGTTGAATCTACAAATTGTAAACATGTTGGTATTTTTATTAACAAGTTCAAACCAGGCAGTCCAGATGTCGATGAGATTGTGCATAAGCTACGTGGACAGTGCTTTGCCCTGCTTCATTGTAATTTGTTTGGCACCGGCATTAATCCCTTGACAGGTGCCAAGTTGTATAAATCTGTTGTGATGCCAAGCAGTCTTTTTGGCTGTGAACTTTGGCATTCTCTTTCAGAAACCGAATGGAATCGCATTGAATCAGTTCATCACTTATGTGCAAAGCTGATTCAAGGTTTTCCTCGCCGGACTAGATCCGATATTGCCCTAAGTATGCTCGGGTTTACATCTATTCGCCTTTGTATTGAGCTATCAAAGCTCCGTTTTTTCTCTGCTTTATGCGATATAGATACTCGTTTAGCAGTTAAAAGGTTGTTCTTAAAGAGACTTTTTCGTATATTTCGGCTTCCGTGGCAAGAAAGTTGACATTATTCTAGATATGTGGAATCTATTTCACCGGTGTGATTTACAAGATTTTTTATACCAATTTTTGCAAACTGGTGTCTTTCCGCCTAAAAGCCACTGGAAACACCTAACAAAGAACATTCTGATCAGCACGTACTCCTCTGGTTGGAGTGAACGTCTAAATAACAGTGATGATTTTTGCAGATTTAAACATTTGCAGCGGGATGTTAGTCCCTCTCCTCTATGGTACCTTGCGAAATGTTCTCCATATCTCTACCAGACTTATAAAAATGTAGCAAAGCTTTGGTGCGTTCCTCCAAATTGCGAACTATCTTGTGCTCAGTACAAACTACTAGTCGACGATGCAGTTGCCCACTGTATTTTTGACTGCAGTAGTTCCACAGTATTAAATCTACGTGACATTTTTTTCACCAAAATAGTCAACGACTACCCGGTGAATGTCTATGTTACACTAGTTAACTCGTGTAGAGAGGTTCAAATTGCCACTATTCTTGGAAGTCCATTTGCAAAAGACTGTTGTATTTTTGCCGAAAAGGCCTCTTTACTTACATTAAACTAGTCGTTAGTCAGCATTAATTTTATGTCCTTGTAATTATCACTTCATTATCGCTTCTCTGTACCTTTCTCTTTCTTCATTATATTTCTAAATACTTTGTGTCATAATATAATATAAGTACATGTATCTTCATTTGTAACTCTTCAATTTTGGAGGAATAAAGAAATGAATGAATGAATGTAGGACACCGAGAGACGATTTTCCTGCGATGATAGAGACCATGGGGTATTGCCATGAAATACTGGCGAAGATCAAACCAAAGCATCCTAGCTTTGAAAATCTGTTTACGACTCAAATTGAATAGCAATGTTCTGGATTTGATTTTATCTCCTTAATATCAGTCTGACGTATATCTCTGTACTTAACATATATTAATCACTTGTCTAACATATGTTGAACAACCCAGACTTCGTAACCGTGTCCGATACATACTTTGGCGGAAAGAGTCAAACGCAGTGAAGCGGGACTTGTAGAGTTGGAGATCACTCCCTTCAGTGGTAGAAAGGATGTGAACTGAAACGATATGGCAGCAACTAGGTAAAGACTGGGTTTCATTTAATCACAAAACTAACCCGCTATCAGTGTGAACACACATATCACTTAGTTTTCTTTTAACACGCGGGAAATCGATTGACTGGAGAATCCTATTTTCTTCATTGTGAAGTCATCAATGAAAAAGGAATAGAGAATATCGCAAACTTTCGTCTTTAATCAGATGTTGTTTTCACGAATATTTGTTGATGTATTTGAGTTATGTGATAAATAGAATCTTGCATTCGTTTCCATATATCGAGCCTTTCGCGAGGCGAAATCAAACATTCAAAGGCCACTTTTGCGTAAACGGTTCAGGTGGTTTTGCGATTATTCCAAAAACACGAACGCACATATACTGGATGCTGCAACTGATATATGTAATGCTTAAAATGCACAGTTTCAGAATTCCCTGTCAAGCATAATACAATTAACTAAAATTAAGATATTATCCATTTCACTCATACTTAATAGCATAATGCTTCCGGAAATATGTCAGTGCACCTACCCTGCTCTATGCTGAAATTCTGAAAACTAATGATATTCATCAAGTTAGTTTCGGACAGATATGACTGGACCCCTCAATCAGCACGTGACAAATA